TTGAAGGTTGGGATATGTTGGGATGGGTTGAGGAATACTGTCCTACAGAGAAAAGTGTTAGGGGAAACGACCCTGGTGCTGGAGGTATTTGGAGGCAACTCAAGGCCATTGAATCTCTGGAAAGTGTGATTCTCAAATACTCCCTAGTATATACAGCCTCCTCCTTGGCCTCTCAACCCTGTCCTCCAGACCACGGCCCACATGATGAGATTTCACTAAATCAGCACTGACTTTGCTCACAGCCTTTCGGAACTCCTCAGTATCCCAAGGATGAAGCCCCATTCCCTGGACTCAGCCCATCCAGGTCCCGACTTTGACACCATCCCTGTTACAGACAAAGCATGGCCTGTCCCTGGACTGTGGCACTAGAGAGGGCCTGCTTTGAGCATCTGCGTAGGTTCAAGAGCTCAGAAATGATGAGCACAAGTCAGTGTCCCTGAACTAGCCCCACCAACCCTCACCCCCACCACAGAGCTCTCCACCCAGGAACCAATCTTTTTCTCCACTAGGTCAACAGGCTCAAATTCAGGGCCATGCTCTCTCTCCACAGCCATGTACCCCCTGCCCAATGGCTCTTCCTGGCATTTGTAGAACACCTGGACAGTAACTACAGATAGTAAACACCATGTGTTAAAAAACAATACATGCACAAGTGTATAAATAAAACTCTCTGAGGACCTGTTTACTGATCATCTCTTCTAGAAAACCTCCTAGAACCTCTCCTAAGATTTCAAGTACAAGATGGCTCAGTGGGTAAAGGCGCTTGCTGTCAAGCCAAGCCTAAGGGATCCTTGGTACCTACATGGAGTTACGAGAGAACTGACTCCCCCGAGTTCTTCTCTGACCTCTATACCTAGACTGTGGCATGCTTCCTCTTCCCCACAAAATAAATATATGTAAAAAAAAATATTTTAAGTAGAGTGGACCACTTTCCCTTTCCTTTTATCTAACTCTCATCTCACCCTCAATTGGATGCTCACTACTATACGTGGCTATTTGAAATCTGTTTTTGGGTTGTGCTTTCTCCGCCCTCCTTTCTGTTCCTTTCGTCTTTGTCGCCTTCAATAGATTCCGACTAGTTCATGAGGTAAGAAGATAATCAACTCTGGTCTCAAAACACCCAGTAAAGAGCAGACACACAGAAGAGGTCCTCAGTAAATGGTTGTTAAATGTTGAATATGGTCCTGCCAGCAAAGGCAGAGGCTGGATTAGGCCTGTCCCTTTTGCAAGTGCTCACTCTCTAGACAGTTGTGCGAGGACATGTGCTTGATGCTGCTCTGGTATTAGACCTCTGAATCTCCACTTCTAGAATAAAGAACAAACTAGAACACACCCCCACAACAAATGTTGAAATACCTTGGGTAAGAATAGCTGCGGAGTGCTTACTCCATGTGCCCTTCCGAACAATTAACAAGTTTTATTCAAAACCTACGACACAGATACTTCTGTGCTCCTTATTTTCCAAATGAGCAAACAGAGGCCCAGGAAGGTGAAGTTATTTCCTCCATGACTATAATCACAGGTAGACACCAGTCCCAAGTCTGTGCCCCAACTTTGGTAACAGCTATCAATTAATTAGGTAATTAATTGGTACCAGGCATCAGGTAAATGCCTTCTTATTCATGATCATGGATCTTTACAATGGTCCTCAGTACAGGTATACATGTGATAGCCCCACTTTAGAGATGTGAAAACTAAGGTTTAGAGCTGTGAAACTCATTACCTAACGGTACCCCATTCTAGTTAGTAAGCAGCAGAGCTGGAGTCCAGCAGCCCAAAGGCACAGCCTGTATTCTTAAGGTCTTAAACACACACACACAGACACACACACAGAGCTACAGTCCGGCAGCCAGCCCAAAGGCACTGCCTGTATTCTTAAACACTCTGCTCTTACCCATCCACGGCTTCAAACTAACAGTCTCAAATGAATACATGCTCTCTCTCTCGCTTTCTCTCTCTCTCTCTCTCTCTCTCTCTCTCTCTCTCTCTCTCTCTCTCTCTCACACACACACACACACACACACACACACACACACACACACACACACACCAGATAGGCAGGATAAAGCAGTGGCAGCTCTGATTGAGGCAATAAAGAGAAGTAGAACAGGTGACAAACAGAAACTCTAATGGCCTATCTCAGCAGCTGACCATTTCCTATCCAGAAGCATGGTTTTGTCTTGTCCTACATCCAAGGAAGACTGGAGACACATCAGTAAGAAAATCCCCAGTCCCGAGAGGTTCTCCTGGACCATCAACCAACCCTTTGGTGGCACTACACATTTGCCAGGAACTACCCGCATGCTTATTCTTTTAATATCAATCTTCCTGGCCAGTCAGAAAGTTCCAGATGGTCGATTTTAGTCTGAAGTACCCCCAGCTCCCAGCACAGGACATGGCTCTACATTGAATAAAGATATTTGCCTGTCTTGTGGCTTTCCTTGCAGTTCAGTCTCCCAGGTTGCTCTTCATAGCCGTGCAAAACCTAGAGAGTGCAAACCCTGGCCCTCTTATTTCCCTGGCTGGTTCTGGTATTTGGGGAACCGATTCTCCCATTTCATTTTAACTTGTTTCATTGTGTCTTTCACCCTCTTTGATGGCCTCTACTAAACCCTGTATATCAAGCCTGGGTTGTTTTGTAGTATGTTTGTCCCCTGGCTTAGTCTTTCTCTTTGTCTCAGTAAGTGTCCTTCCTTGAATCTGTCCTGCTTGGCCTCTCTGTTCTTGGCAATCAGTGGGCTTCTCTCCCTGATATTGGATCTGTGGGTAGGAAGCTCTCTGTCTGGCTCACCCCTTGTTCCCCTCCCCCTGCAGGGTCACAGCTCAGGCTCACGCACCACGCTGTGGACTGGTTGGGTACGCGCACATCCTTGCACACCAGCAGCACGTAGCTGTACTTGAGCACGTGGATGAGCCTGTAGAGTGGGGGCGCATTGGCCCAGGGGCTGCGTGCCACATGTGTGGAGCTCTTCACCGAGAAGACCACCAGCCGCTGCTGGCACCACTTGTCGAAGAAGCGGCTGAACTCAGCCCAAGAGAAGAAAGTTCGATCCAACAATTCCTGTTCCTCCTTCTGCACTGCTGTGCCTGGTGGGGGTTCTGTCAGCTCCATCCCGGGGCCCTGTGTGGAACTGGGGAGAAGAACTGGACATCAGACCCATCCCCACCTGGGTTACCCCATTATTCCCTATTCACAGACTGTCTTATCGGCTGCTGATGCCTCACGTATGTCTCTGGGCAGATCAAAGTGGTTTTATTGTTTGTTTTCCAGAGAGTAGTTTCCATCCCAATTTTGTGGTCCACCTGTTGCTTCCCTAGGTTCAGTTGGCACTTAATTTCAATTCTAGTCCCAGTTGCCTTAGATGTGACCTCTAGGTACAAGTGGAATCAGTTCTTCTAAATATCTGCCTTCAGCCCAGCTGTGGACATCTTTGTAGATGTATTTATTCCTAGTTTCTGGTTAAGATTTTTCCTTTTTCCAGATGGGTCTCCTACCCCTGGTGATAACTTCTAGTGGCCCCATTGACCTGGAACTTCTTTTCCCCATGAATCTACATTGACTGTAACTCATATCGACCCTCATAGCTAGGCATGAATTTCAAATCTAGGCATATTCTTCACACACCTTGGCTTTCTTCCCTAGATGTATCAGATATGCAGCTGTTACCCCTCACATATGACCACCTTGGATTGCTACATTGATCTGTGGCTTATGCTTTCCAGAGATGCTCTTATCTTCAGATGTCCTTCCCATGTCCTGTCATGGGTCCTTAGCCTACAGGGGTGTGGTCCACTTGTGGCCAACTGAACTCAGAAGTGTCACTCACGAGCAGTCATCTGTGGTCCATACTCCTCCTAAGACTTAACTCTCCTCCTGGGCCAAGTTGCAGCTCCCTCTTTCCAGCAATAGCTACTATTCTCAATGTGAGTCTTCGTTCTGGACTTGGCCCCCTTGTCCTCAGATGGACTTCTTCACCCCTGATGCTCCCCCCACGTCCAGCTGAGCCTTCCCTCCCTCGTGCAGCCCCTTCTAGCTGGTTCCCACCTCCCCGGACCCTCGCAGCCCGTCTCACCACCGCCCCTCCCGGCCTAACCACCCTACACAGCGGTGCTTCTCCACTCCCCAGGCTGTGCACCCTTCCCGCCCCCTCCCCCTCAACTCACCTACCCAACCCGGAGCAGCGTCCACCTCCCACAATGCCCCGCGCCCAAGCCCAGCCCGGCCCTTGCTCCCGGGATGCCTCGCGCGGCCTCCCGCCTTTCTTCCCGCAGTGCCTGGCAAGGTGGATTTTCACCAACCCTTTTCCTTTCCCCGCCTGTCACCCTTACGACCTCGCAGCCTCACCGGCTCATCCACGGGGAGGACAGGCTCCGGGCCGCTTCCCAGCATGCTGTGCGGGACAGCGCCCCTCCCCTCCCCGCTCCGTCCCATTTCCAGGCTGCCTCACGCTCCGGAGACTACAACTCCCAGCAGCCTTGGGGCGATAATGGCGGCGCGCGCGCGGGGCGCCCGGGCCCCGCCTTCGGCCATCTCCACCCACCCCCCAACCCCGCCCGCCAGTCTGCGCGCGAAATCCGTGTGGCGCGAATTTAGGGCTTTCGGGCGCGCGTCGCCGGGCAAGCAAGTGCGGCGTCCGGCGAGGTGACTCGAGAGGCAAGTGGGGCCGTGGGAGCGTGGCTGGGGCTAGGGCTGGGGGCGGCGAGCGTCCCGAGCGCTTGTCGCCGCCGGTGAGCTTCGCCGGTTCCGGGTGTGAGCCGCAGAACGAGCGTGGGGACGTCGCGGCGGCCGAGGGCGTGGGAAGAGGGCAAGAGGGAGTCGGGGTGGCGGGGGAGCCGCGGGCTGACTGGTGGACGAGGGCCGCAGCAGGTTGGAAGTGCGGCGTCTGCAGAGGACAGGAGGAGGCCTTGAAGGGGGCGGGGCCCGGGAGAAAGGCCGGCAGTGGGCGTGGCCACTGGAATTGGAAGCATCAGGTGAGCAGGGGCAGCCTGGGGCCGGAGGGAAGGTTTAAGTGTGCAGTGTTAACCCTGGACGCCAGCTTTCTATCAATATAAGATGCTAGGTGTAATGGGGCCGGATGGACTCTTGTAGTGAGAGCAGGGTGACGTCAGTAGCCAGAAAGCGTTCCTCTCTGAAGACGAGAGAAACTTGGCGTGATCAGTGTCAAGAGCCAAGGAAAAAGGTGAGGTAGGCTGCCAGAAAGGGACACAGGCCTGGGCATGGATGAGACAGGACTGCAGGTCTGGAGGCGAGGCCTGGAAACACTTAGGGGTGGGTCAGGGCTTGTTGCTTAAGTGCGTGCGGAGTTGAGGGGGCAGAGAAACTTGGATGGCAAGAATAGAAGGAAGTTGTCAAGGTGAAGAGGGACATTTGGAAAGGGAATCTGGCAGACAGCCAAGAGGGCTTGCCTAGCGGCATCAGACCCTGCCTGAATTCTGTCCTCAGTACCATAAGGTGTGTGTGGGGGGGGGCGGGGGACGAGAAAGAATAAAGAAACTTACCTCTCAAAGCATAAAAACCTGAAAAAAAAATCTGTGCTGTGAATTTTTTGTATTAGATGGAAAGCAGGCACCGTATGGGGAAGGAGACTTCCCTTTTTCTGATCTGCAAGTTTTATGACTTAATAGTAAATTTTAATTAAAGTTTCTTACTGGTTTATAAAATTAGGTATTTCTCCTGAAGAGGAAATGCATATTTCTGATTGTATACACAGTATGTGTGTGTGTGTGTGTGTGTGTGTGTGTGTGTGTGTGTGTACACGTATGTGTGTACCAGGAATTATGTATAGAATCTATTTGGTAATGCACATGAGTGTGTGGGAGGGAATCCAGGCCCACGTGTGCAAATACCACTATCTGCTTCATTGTCTTCAGACAGGGTCTCGCTAGGTTCTGGCTAGTCTGTCAGGCTGGCCAGTGAGCTTCTGGGATTGGACTTTTTCCACTTGTCTGTACCCCACAGTGCTGGTTTACAGCCATGTACAGCCATGCCGAACTTTTTTTTTAAACACGGGTGCTGGGGATTCAAGTTCACGTTCTCTTGCTTTCACAGAAAGCACTCTTACCCACTAAGCCATCTCTGCAGTCCCTGATTGCATCTGCTCTTTTATTTCCTTAAGGGGGGTGGTTGTGTGTCGTCTCCCTCCCCCCCCCCCCCCCCCCCCAGGTCTTAGTCTTTGCACAGCCAATATCCTTAGAGGTCTTTGAATTTGTTTTTCAGGTACAACTAATGAGAAAGAAAGAGCAAGAGAGGAAAGGGGAGAATTCTGCTGCCACCATGCAGAGAAGTATTATGTAAGGCCTCTGCCATGCTCCAGGCACTTTGTGTTGTGACTCTTCCTGGGATAATGCGAACTAACACTCATTTACCCCAGATAGGGCACCAATGACAAGCCACCCAAATTTAGCTTCGTGAACCAGTGGGTTTATTGGTGTTAATTGGTGACACAAAGGCAGCCCCTCACTCCAAAGCCTACCCCAGCATGGGTGATGACTCCTGAAAGCTGCATCCCTGGAGCTCCATGCTCAGTCAGCAGGCTGCTCCACTGAAGAGTCCCTCTCAATCCAAAGCAGTGTTGACTACTAATATAAACCTTGGGGAGGGGCTCGTGAGTCTTGTAACTTTCTGAGCCTCCCCAGTGTCTTGAGCTTCCTGATTCTTGAGCTTCCTCCTCCCTGTAAGAGGTTGTGTCTACATAATACGCCTTCCAAACTCTGAGCTTTCTGCTTCAAATCTGCATTTTCTGAGAAGACCTTGAGTGAGACTTCAAGTTCCTAGCATTGAGTAGTCTGAAAAATGAGAAGTGGGACATGGGAGGAAGTAGTGAATCAATTAATTCATTAGTTAATTTTTAGCTGCAGGGTATTGGTCCCTAATGCAGAGGTTCTCAGTTAGCCGTTTTGCACCCTGGGAACATGTGGCAATGTCTGCAGACATGTTTGGTTCTGGTGATTTAGGGGTCTGGGATTTGGTTTTGATATCTAGTGGACAGAAGTTAGGCTTGCACTAAACCTCCCTCGGTGCACAGGACAGCCTGAGTGCCAGTTCAGAAACCCTCTACTAATGCAAGGTGGCTTTAGGAACATGAGAGAGGAAGGTACATGGTTTCCATAGTTACAGTGTGCAACTTCAGGCTTGAAGTTAGATCCAGCAACCAAATATTGTCATGGTCTATCTTTCTGTGGTCATCTCAGTTACCTTTGATGTTGTACCTTCAGGCTGGCTCTCCCAAGATCAGCAATCTCAGGGAAGAGATTACCTCTCTCCTTTCTGACCCAGCAATATCTAGAGCCAAATTCTGACTTGCAGTGCACTGCACTAGTTGGTGAGGCCTGGGTCATGTGTCCATGTGCCATAGTGTAGGTCACTCCTATTCTGTATTGAGAGAAGACCATAGAGAGAGGGGTGTTCCGAGAAAGGAGGGAATGGATACTAGCAGGCTCAGACCTGGGCTTTAACTGTAGAAACCCAGGAGGCACAAATCCCTGCTTACTCACAGGGTGGGAAACCTGGATATGGTCTGTCCTGGGATGGCAGCTCTTTATTCAGATGCTTTCTGTTCTCTTATTTTCTTGCCCTTTTTTTTTTTTTTAATTTTTTCAGTGTCCAGAATAGAATAAAACCTAGGGTCTTTGCCCATTCTAGGGAAGCCCTCTACCACTAAGTTACATCCCTGGTGTGTGTGTCCCCTCCCCTCCCCCAAGGCTATACAAAAGTAGAACAATCTGCATGGCTGGGGATGGTGTCTGGAGCTTCAGGTGTGGCCCAGGTGGGTGGAGCTTCGGTGCTATTAATGTCTCTCATCCCCTTGTGCTCCTCCAGGTCATTTTTCCAACCCACAAAAGAGGGTAAAGCAAAGAAACCCGAGAAGGAGACGGCCAACAGCACCAGAGAGAAGGAGCCCCCTCCAAAGTGTGTAAGGGGGCCAGGGCAGGGCATATGCCTTTGGCAGTCAAGATGCTTGGCTTTGCAGGTGTTAAAAACCTACTTCAGATGTGTCGGCCACAAAATGATATTTTTATTTATTTATTTTTTTTGGTTTTTCGAGACAGGGTTTCTCTGTGTAGCTTTGCGCCTTTCCTGGAACTCACTTGGTAGTCCAGGCTGGCCTCGAACTCACAGAGATCCGCCTGGCTCTGCCTCCCGAGTGCTGGGATTAAAGGCGTGCGCCACCACCGCCCGGCCAAAATGATATTTTTAATTTAGATGTTTGACAGCCAGCTTCAGGTACTACCGAACCTGGGACTTCAGAGTTCTTGTCAGGGCTCTGTTCCCACATGCTTTGCATTCACTCTAGACCAGACCCTGTCCATGGGGTACAGATGCTGGCCACATTTTGATTCATACAGTCTCAGGAAAGATACTCTGTGGCCTTGCTTGGGTACCATGGTCACCCTTGGGCCAGAGCATGGATGTGAACACATTTAGTTCATAATCCCCAAATTGAGATGTTGAGCAGGAGGCCTCACTTCCTTTGTCCTAGCTTCCTCATGAGTAAAAAGGTGCCTAATATCCAACAGGCCTTCTGCGTGGGGTCAGTGAGTAAACAGATGTGCCATTTCTACCACACTGCATACTGGAGAAAAGGCACTCTGCACATGTAGGAGTCAAGCTATGATGTCGAGGTTGGTCACTGTGACATATGCATTGCTGTGTGCAAGTGCGTATGCCGGTTTGTTTTCTGTGATTGACTTAGGTATATTATATGTTATTATCTGTTAGCTTGCTTCTTAGCTTAGAGGACGTTTTTTCGTTCAGGAACACAGGGGCTCAGTTCTTTTTACCTTCTGTGTTGTATCCTCTTCTATGGATATTTATATGCTATATAAACTATTTAGCAATTCATTTTTGGTGAATTTTTAGGTTGTTTCCTCTTTGTGGGTGTAACAATTATATGCTAATATATTTAAATTTGCTTTTGTTATTTTTAATTATATGTGTGTATAATTATGTGTGCAGGTATTTTTTTTGTCTAACATTGGAGGAATTATGTATAATAACTGTAAAAACATTAACTCAGAACTAAGGTAGATATTTGACCTTGGGGCTGGAGAGATGATACAGTGGTTAAGAGCACAAACTGTTCTTACAGAGGACCACAGTTTGCTTCTAAGCACTCATGTCAGGTCACAATTACCTATAACTCCAGCTCCAGGAGAATCCAATGCCTCTGGCCTCTTGGAACACCTGTGTCCATTTGTACCTATCCACTCACAGATATATACAAAATGATAAATCTAGGGGCTGCTGAGATGGCTCAGTAGTTAAGAGTACTTGCTGCTTTTCCAGAGTACCCAGGTTCAGTTCTCAAGCACTCAGGTGGTTGCTCATAACCACCTGTAACTCCAGTTCCCAGGGATGTGATGCCTTCTTCTGGCTCCTGTAGGCACTAGGCATGTGTAGGGTACATAGATATACATGTAAGCAAAGCACCCATGCACATAAAAATAAATGAATAAAAATTTTTAAAAAATTAAAAGAAGTTTTTGACCTCTTTCCACTAGAGGAAAGCACTGTGACTCATAAAACAGCTCTCAAGTATTTTCTGTGTGTCAGATATAGCTCTAGACACTGGTTTTGAGGTGAACCAAGTAGATGGCCATTCCTCTACTCTTCAAAAGTCTGTAGAACTTTCTGTGGTTCTGAGCATGGACCTGCTTCCCTCTTTGTAAAGAAGTTCTGTAGGATGAGTGCCTGTCACCAGGAAGTATGGAGTAGCTGGTACTCACGGTGGCTATTGGGGGGATTTATTAAGGCAACTCCACGTAGTTAAAAAGGAGGTTTATTTTGGGGGGTAACTTACTAGTAAAGGGGTTGGTTATAGGATCCGGGAGAGGTGAGGTGCAATCCATCTGGGTTCTCTGGAGAACTCAGCTCCGTCTACCATCCAGCGTCCAGGATCACCAGAACCAAGAGAGCCGGCACATCCGGATCTTGGATCTTAAGGGCTTCTGTCTCGGCCCCACTTCAGGAGCAGGCCATAGGTAGGCGTGACAGTTACTGGCAGCCTCACTGTGGGTAGTACTTCCAGGTCAAAGCTGGAACAGCTAGCTGCCCACTACAGGTGGCCTCTGTTCTTTCTGACTGAGTTTGAGGACAGTAAGCACTTGAGTGACTGCCATCAACACATATGCCATCTTGCGTGTGTTCCCATAAACTGGGAGCTCAGAGGTGGCATCAAGGGGATAGGGGAGAGTAACAGTCTCCCTTTCTTCATGTAAAACTTCAGGCTGGTATGCTGTTGCCTGGGTGACTGACTACTGTGCTGAAACTCCTGTGACAAGATAGAAGGTCTCCATATGGATTTTAGTGTCAAGCTGGTGCCTAATCCCTGCCAAGAAATCCATCTGCTTTTCATGACATGTTACCACGACACAGGCACTCAGGATGCCTTGGGCATAGGATGGAGAAAGGGATGGAGGGAAGGATACTTAATTGCATATAACAAAGTCAAGTATGGTGGCATATACCATAATCTGAGTTCTGGTGAGGTGTAGGCAAGAGGATCAAGAGTTCAAAGTTGATCTCTGCTACATACTGAGTTTGAAGCCAGCCTTGGCTACATGAGACCATCTCAAAAGAAAAAAAATAGTGAATGCCATGGAGGTGCCTAGAAAAGTGCTCACTGAAATGGAAGAGAAGGGAAGTGTTTTTGGGCAGTGTCCCCACCTGCCTGCCATGTGCTCCACATCTCCCTCCCACCTTCCAGGGTGGCACTGAAGGAGAGGAATGGAGTGGTGCCTGAGAGTGATTCTCCAGTGAAGAGGCCAGGAAGGAAGGCGGCCCAGGTCCTAAGCAGCGAAGGGGAGGAGGAAGATGGAGCTCCTGGCACCCCCAAAGCCCAGGTGGGTTCCAGCAGCCTGCTGGTTTTTCTTCTCTAAATTTAATGTGTGTGTGTGTGTGTGTGTGTGTGTGTGTGTGTGTGTGTGTGTGTGTGTGTGTGTCCTGGCTGTGTGAGTAGAGGTCAGAGGACAACTTTGTGGTGTTCCTTTCTTCCACTTTCACGTGAGTTTTAGGAACTGCACTCATGTCTCTAGGCTCATGCAGCAAGCACCTTTGCCCATCAAGCCATCTTGCTGACCTTTGACCTACTCCCCTATACAGCTGAGTGCAGTAGCTGTGCAGGAAGACTGGGGCCATTGTCCAGGAGACAAGCAACATCCACTGTTGTGCCTTCAAGCAGGAGGCTTGGGGTACAGGGTCCCAGTCTACCTCTTCTCTGGCATGTGGGGCTCATTCGGCCCCTTGACATCGTCATGCCTCAGGTGCCTCATGAAGAATATATCTATTGCACCTTCTACTTCATAGTTATCCTATAATTCTGTCAGTCAGATGCCTGGAGTGGATTATCTTTAGGGTGTGGGCAGGGCCATTTTTCTGGAGCCTGTAGGGAAGACCACTTCCATGCTTCTAGAAGCCTGTTTGTGCATCTTCTGAGCCAGCCTTATGGTCTCTGTCTGTGCTTCCTGTGGTCACATTTCCTTGTGATTCTTCTTGCTTCTATGTAAATTTTTTTTATAACTTCTATGTGTCTTTGTCTGTGTGTGTGCGTGTGCATGCACATGCCATGGTGTATGGTATCACAGGATAATGTGCAAGAGTTAGTCCTCTCCTTGCACGTTGTGGGAGATACAAAGAAGTATGAAAATACAGTCCTTAGACTCATGACCACACTAGCTGCAGAGGAGGCTGTGGAATGTAGTACTCGGGCCCATGATTGTACTAACTCCAAAGGAGGTTGGTAGATAGTCTTTGGTTAGGCCATCAGACATACAGCTGAAAAAGGAAGATTCTGTTACTCTAAGAGGCAGAATTGGTGTTGGGGTCAATAATGGAGTGAATCTGGGACACTAAAAATGTTTTGGTGGGTCAGATGATTACCTAGATGAGAGAAGGTAGCTTCAGTGGGGATGAGACTGAGTCCATTCTGCTCTGAAGCATGGTAGCTGCAACTGCCAGGTGATGCATGCATCCTCTTTATTCTAGAACTGTTTTCCTGTCTCCTTCCAGAAGTCCGTGTCAGACTCCAAACAGAGCTCTCCTCCCAGCCCTGACACATGTCCTGAGAACAGTCCTTTCTTCTCAGAGAGAAGCAGCCCCTCCATGGACATCTCCCCATCAGGATTCCCGAAGCGTCGCACTGGTAAGGACAGGCCAACTCCTTCCTTTCCATCTGTACTGCCCATGGTGGTCCTCCTTCGAGTGGCCCTGATGGTAGTACTGTGGTGGTGATGGTAGTACTGTGGTGGTGATGGTAGTACTGTGGTGGTGATGGTAGTACTGTGGTAGCGAGCACAGTTAACTGTTCCTCAGCTGTGTGACCTGAGGCAAACAGCTTCACCTTTGTGGAGGTGTGGCTACTTTACCTGTGGACCAGGTGGTCTGAAATACAGTGCCAACTGCCCAGAAGTGCCAGGATTAAAGGCTGATTCATGTAAAGTTAATGGGCCGGACTTGGCCCACAGTCAGCGCTCAGTCAGTACGTGTTGGAAATTGTGATTGTCATGGGGAGTGATAGCTACCCACGGCTCTTGGTAGGAACACAAAAGTACACGTGTGGAGACTGCTGGAAGAGAGGGTAGCTAAGCTGATCCCTGAAAAGCAAAGAGTCAGGTGGGATAAGAGAAAGGAAGAGGATTCCAGGTAGTGTGAATAAATTGGGAACATCTTGGTCACTTAGGTCTGGAGTTCTGGCACAGGGAACACAGAGTTGGGAACATTGAGTGAATAGACTGGAGACTATCCTAGAGAATCAGCCTGAGACAGGCTGGAAGGAGAAGACTTGATGTGGATAAGGGCCAGGTGAGAGACCCACATGTGACCTGGGGACTCTGAGCCTGGTCTGATGACTTGTAATGTAGTGACTTGAGATGGGAACTTGTGGTGTTTTGGTTAATGGACATTGTGAAGCTGGTGCAAACGAGCATGCCCGATCTTCAGATCTGTGATGCTCACCAGTTCAGCCATTGCAGTCTGCAGACTTAAAATTGAAAACCCCAAATGATGCAACACCACTGGACCCAAGCATTTCATGCAGGGTGTTCCACCAGAGCTGCCTTCAGCAAGTGAAGACTTTCCAGTGTCCCATGAGCAACTTGGGTGTAGGAATCTGCTTTTTGTGCAGAATGCTGTCAGTTTTTAAAAACCTAAACACAGGTTAAATATTCATGACAAAAACCTGATGTCTGAATTGACACATACATACAGCATGTCAGATTTTGAAGACTTAGTGTATTTGGTTCTTTTTTTCCCCTTCTCATTACTGTGACAAAAGACCTGCCCAAAGCATCTTAAAGCTAGGAGAGTTTATTTTGGTTCACACTTTGAGAGTGCAGTCCATAATGATTGGGAAGGCATGACAGCTGGCCACATTGCATCCATGTCCGGAAGCAGAAGGAGACAATACTGGTGCTCGGCTCGCTTTCTCCTCCTTCGTTTTCATACATTCCCTGTCCCCAGCTGGTAGGATGCTGCCTCTCAAATTCCGGGTGAGTCTCTCACAGTTAAAACTCACCAGGAATGCCCTCACAGGCACAGAGGTGTGTTTCCTAGGAATTCCAGATTTGGTCAAATTTTCATGAATAGTGAAGGAATCAGTATTGGCTCAGGATACCCCAAGACCAACTTCTCAGCACAAAAGAGATTTATTTGCTTTAGAGGGACAAAGGGCAGGGAATAAGAGGCAAAGACAGGAGATAGATGATGAGGGAGAAGGGGAAGGGAATAAAGAATGGGGAAAGAGGTATTTGACCCAGAAGGGGACAAAGGACTGCCTCTGGATAGAGAGGAGACAGATGTGGCACATAGGAAAATGGCAGTTTATAAAGGTAAAAGAGGAAACCTTGTGTTAGAATGAGGTGTTTAATTTTAATTGGGCATGTTAATTAGGTCAGCCAAAGGGTACTTTTGATTGCTGGACTTTAATACTTTGATAGCTGTATGTTGGTAGTCAGCCTCAGGAGGAGGAAGTGGCCAAATAAGGGACTAGGCCTTGGTGGCTAGCTTTAGGAATGTAAGCTAATGGTTTTTAGCAAGGCAGAGGGAGTGGGAGAGAAGGGCAAGGTCTGCCAGAGTCATGTGTGCCAAGCTTGGGCTGGTTAGAGTCCCTTTAGATAGGAACCCACACTCTTAGCATTAAAAAAAAGACTGCTTATAATTTAGAATTGAAATTGTGCTCAGATCATAATATATGGTTTAAAACTAGGTTCTCCAGTTTGCCCCCCTCTTTAAGTGCTAAAGTTTAATATCACATAAGCAGTTCCCTGAGTAGACCCGGTCACAGGGCTGCTCTGGGAGCTCCGAAGGTTTGTAAAAGGCAAGTGGAGACGATCCCAGATAGGAGCCACATGTGCAAAGGCCCCGGGTAGGAATAACACAATGTTATTAATGTTATTAATAACACAATGTGTGTGGGAATTCTGACTCTGGTGTTTCTAGAGACTACACTGTGGTTTGAAGAACAGGGAGGCAGCTTGAGGATAGATAGTGTGTGGTAAGATGTGAGCTACAGAGTACTGGCTGGATCCTCAAGGCTCTCAGATACCAGCTTGTTATTGTTTACTAGAACTTGTTTCCTTCTCAGAATGCAAGAAGCGGGGGGGACAGGGGTTAAGTAACCCAGTTAAGGTCACAGATTCAGAGCTTGAAGAATGAGATGCTCATAGGGGTAGTGGCTATGGCAGGTACAGAAGAGGAAGGGATCTGGAACCTTCTGAGTCGCCCTGTTGACCAGGCAGTGTCTGATCTCACTGGGGCAGACACAGATAAACTGTGGTCAGCCATAGTCCTCCCTTTGCCTCCCTAGCTCGGAAGCAGCTCCCGAAACGGACAATTGAGGACACTGTGGAGGAGCAGAATGAGGACAAAGACAGAGCAGCCAAGAAAAGGAAGAAGAAAGAAGGTGAGGGACCAGGATGAGAGGAGCGTGTGTGTGTGTGTGTGTGTGTGTGTGTGTGTGTGTGTGTGTGTGTGTGTGTGTGTGTGTCTCGGGGATGTGTGGGGGGGGGGTGGGTACACGCACATAGAACGGGGACCTTCAAGGGTCTGGGAGGGGGGAGGTGTGTGCAGTACAAGGTGTTTGGACTTCCAGATCTGATATCTAAACCTTTTAAGTCAACATTTCACACTTGGAGCCAGACTTGGTGGCCTATGTCTGTAATCATAGCACTCAGGAGGCTGAGGCAGGAGGATCCCTTCCAGTTTGAGGTCCGTTTGCTCCACATTACAAGACTCTGTTTCAAATAGTTAAATGAATAAACATTCCATACTCTAGTACACAGAAGCTCATCATGAAAACTTTTTGAAACATTTTTTTGTCTTAATTCATTACTGTGTATAACTAATTTTGTTTTTATTTAATGGAAATTATTAGTATTTTTTTTTACCATTGCTTTGCTGAAGTTTTACTTATTTTTTGTTTTATTTTTCGTATTTTTCTTTTTTTTCAAAATTTATTCTTCTCTCATACAATACATCTCAATTGCAGGGTAGTAAGTTTATCCAAGGATATTCTTTGAGATGTGTTGTACCGGTTTCTTGAAACCCCCAGAGACCACCAAGGAGCTGGTTTCCAATGCAAGCACATAAGGGTCCTTTTATTGTCAGGTTCAATGTGGGCCACTGTACGGCAGATGGAAGGAAATGTGGCAGCGGCCGCGAACCCAGGTGTAAAGAGTTTTTATAGGGAAAAACCACAAGCCGGAAATTACATGCTTGGGATTGAGTAGAAAGGATATGGTGCAAGGTGATTTTTTGAAACTCTTGGTCTAGACTTTGGGCACAAAGCCACATTTGAAACCATTGGGTTAGACTTTTGGTGGGGGACTACAACCTGCCGAACAGGATTATCTGGATATCTTCAAGGGCCATAAACCACAGACAGAATGTCTGCAGGAGCATACTGTTCTGTGTCTGAGTTGTTATGGCATGTTCCTGAGGTCCTTCATGGGTCTGAGTACAGCAAATGGCCCTACCCTAAGATGGGGTCTGCATTGCCTTTACAAGATCTACCTCCTATTTTGAGACAACTGAAAACTTAAAATTCCCTCAGCTAGTTTTCACTTAATGTCCAGCAGGTGTCGCTGTGTTCCCTTGGAGACTGCAGAATGGCAGGCTATTGAGAGGGTTCCCTTTGTCTTGGTGCAGTGCAGGGAAATGGGGGTGGGGAAGTGGGGTGGGGTGTCCATTGGGGCTGTCTGTGATTCCATCAGTTGCAGTCTCTGACACATCCAGGTTCTTGTTTATGTGATAAGAAAAAATTATGCTCAGTTTCTATGGCAGGTTTAAATTATTTGGTGGAGACTTGATTTCCTATTGGCAATTTGTAGTTGGTAAAAAATTTCCCTATAAGTCGGAGATTTTAGCCATTCTGAGTATCTTGAAGTAAAAGGAGTATCTTTGTCCTAAGGCAAATTTTCCCCAAGTTAGTGTTTGTGATGTTATCCTTACCAGGGGGATAGCTTTTCAGTATGTTAAAAAAAGAAAAAGTTTAGGCTAGACAAGTGCTGGATGACTGAGTTACAGTTCAGTGTCTTGTTTTTGAAACACGGTCTCACAGAGTCGCCCAGACTAAAAGTTAAATTTACTCTGTAGTCCAGGCAGGCTTTGAACTTGTGACCTTCCTGCCTAGGACTATCTCATGGGTGGGAGTTGTTGTTTTTAAAAATGATAGGCGGTGCTGGTTACCATGCGGAAATGTCATGAGGCACAAGCCATGACAAAAACCTAGTATCAGAGCTTTATTGTGGGGGGAGACAAAAGAACCAGGCCTGGGGAGGAAGCACGTGCAGAGAGGGGTGGGGGGAGTGGGGGCAGGAGAGAACAGAACAGAGAGGAGAGGGAGTCTGTGTCCAGCTTTTTAAGGATTCCAAGGATTCCCGTAAACATGCTCAGGTAGGCTTATGGAGCCACGCCACGCATGCATGCGCTGACTGCGTGACCACATTGTGCGCATGTAATCAGTCACCAGTGCGCACTGATGACATGAGACCCCTCCCTTACTTCGCTGCTGAACTGCACATGTGTGGCCATGCAGCTGGAGTGGTGGCAGAACCCTAACAGGAGTGCCTTTAGGCCTCACTGCCATTTAACGTTTCTGTCTGTCACCAGAAGCACAGACCCCAACAGAAAGCCTCACAGAGGCTGAAGATGTAAAACGGAAGGAAGAAAAGGAGGGGGGCCAGCCCATAGTGCCCCCTGAGCCTGCAAAGTCCCCTGGTGAGTTGCTTACCCCCCCATCTTCATGTCCTGATTGGGGTGTTACTTGTCTTTTGATGGTGAGTCATTTAAAACAAGGTACAGACTCTCTAGCCCAAGCTGGTTCAGTGTAAACTCCCAAGATAATCATGGGTTTTATTGTTAGTACTGGGTTTATTGTTTGCATGAGGGAAAAGAGGAAAGAGCCCCCAAATAACGTGCTTTTAGACATCATAGGTGCCAAGCTGGGCAGTGGTGACCACGCCTTTAATCCCAGCACTTGGGAGGCAGAGGCAGGCGGATCTCAGTGATTTTGAGGCCAGCCTGGTCTATAAAGCGAGTTCCAGGACAGCCAGGACTGTTACACAGAGAAGCTCTGTCTTGAAAAACCAAACAAAAAAAACAAAAAACGAAACAAAACAAAACAAAAACAAATACATCATAGGTGCCAGTCAAATACAGTGAACTAAGTAGGTGTTTATTAAGAGCAACATCTAAACTTAGTTATGAGATTCAGAAGTGGGAATGCCCTTGGAGGCCATGGTGCAGCTTCTGTGCCCCGGTGTTCTTCAGACCCTGTGTCATAGGTGACATTTGCAGAGACGGTTTTATGACATACTGAGATCTGGTTTTCTACAAGTGCAAGAAAAGTGGGACTGCGTGTTCAAATCACGCTAAGATTTTATTTATTTATTTATTTATTTATTTATTTATTTATTTATTTATTTATTTATTTATTTATGTGATGCTGGTGGTGGAATGTAGAGCCTGATTCATGCTAGGCAAGTGTTTAACTGAGCTACACCTCAGCGCTCTCACTAGTGGGTTCTAGGCAGGTGCTCTGCTACTGAGACACACCCCCAGCCTCCCACTGGGGACTCTAGGCAGGTGTTCTACCCCTGAGCCCCACCCCCAACTCTAGGTTTATGTTCATTTGTTTGTCTGAGACAGGATTTTCCTGTGTAGTCCAGGGTGGCCTTGTAATTTTGCAGTCCTTCTGTCTCTGTTCTGAGTAGCTGGGGTTTCAGGCAGATCCGCCTAGCTGGGTGCTGAGGTTTCTTCTCACCACCATTCCCAAGTCTTCTGGCCAGCGCCAGCTGGGCTTTCATTAGCACTGAGGGGTAGACATCGGGCTGGAGGCCCTGCATTTATGGATGGAGAAAGGTCAGAATGGTTAGATTTTCCACTTCTAGGGCACAGTGACCTTCGAATTTTAAAGTCTAGAGGGAGAAAGAGTTTGTATCATCATCTGTCCTCTCTCACTTCAGAGTCGGTACCCCTGACAAAGACAGAGAACGTTCCAGTGTGTAAGGCTGGCGTGAAACAGGAGCCTCAAGAAGAGCAGAGCAAGCCTCCTTCCAGAGGTGGCAAGACACTCAGCAGCTTCTTCAGTGAGCACCTCTCCCCTCTCTGTCCCTCTGGGCTGTAAGGCAGCAGGTTGTGGGCTCTGTTCAGGCTGTGCTGGCTGGACAAGGCTTGGGAGGTGGGGACGATCAGGAGTAAGGACCCTCTACTCCGCATCTCCCCTTGCAGGCCCCCGGAAGCCAGCAGTGAAAGCTGAAGTGAAACAAGAAGAGTCAGGCACTCCAGGGAAGGAAGAGACCAAGGGGTGAGTCGGTGCCCGGGTCTGACAGACATCTAGCACATTCCCTTCTCCATCCCATGACTCAGCCCAGGCTTGGCCTTCCTCCTCTTGCAGGGCTCGGCCATTGGTCAGTATTTTGGGCATGTTTGGCCCCTATTGCAAAGCCTTAGGTTGCAGGCAGAGTAAGAACTGCTCAGGGACAGGGTTTGCATACCCATTGATTGCTTGGCCTCTTGCCTGACCTCCAGCCTCCTGTCTGACCCTCAAAGGAGTAAAGGCACCTATGTGACACAATAATGTAATCATGGGTTTTCTTACCTCTCACCCCTATCCACCTGCCTAGAGTGGTTCTGCACTATTCCCCGAACAAAATCTTAAGGCCCTTTGTCCACTGGTCCCCACCCATCACTCTGTCCTCAGTTCTTAGCACTTGGATTTTACCATACTGAGCTTACCAGGTTGAGCACATGTTCTAGAAACAACAGACATCTTCACTGATAACTCTGAGGGCCTCTGTGCCAGCCCTGGGTGGCTAATGGGTACGAACCAGGAAAGAGCTGCTCTTTCCTGATAATGACTGTGGATTAGAGTTGTGGTTCTCTGAATAGGCTGCTACGTGATTGTTTAATTGTGTTGGGCCACTCTTATACCACTGTTTATGAACACAAGAAGATTTGCTGAATGGACAGTCAGGTGGATGGTGGCAAAAACATCCTATAAACTAATGGGATCAGACCCCATTCTTGCCTTACTCAAAACCACATGTGGGTTGTGGCTCAGTGGTAGAGGACTTTTTTAGAATCACCACCCAGTGAGGAGCTGAGAGTGTGGCTCAGTGGTAGAGCACCTGTCTAGAACCCACCAGCGAGGGGCTAGAGGTATGGCTCAGGTGTAGAATCCCTGCATAGAATTCCCTCTCAGTGAGGGGCTGGGGGTATGGTTCAGTAGTAGAGCACCTAGTAGAGTATCTAGAATCAACCTGTGAGGGGCTAGAGGCCCAGTGGTAGACCTCCTGCCTAGATTCTACCAGTGAAGAGATGGAAATGTGGTGGCCTTTGGCCTTGTGAGCCAGATCCAAAACATAGTAGACATTCCTCTGAGAAGTAACTTTGTAGACCCAGAGTTACCCAATTTTATTTCTCCTTTGTCTTCATAGAACCCTGGATCCAACAAATTACAATCCTTCCAAGAGTAACTACCATCCCATTGAAGATGCCTGCTGGAAGCATGGCCAGAAGTAAGAAGTTAGCCTTCCCTTGCTGTCCTACTTCTGTCCCTGTGACTGTGGGAGGCTATCACTTTGGCCTCTATTGGAGGAGTTGTCACATCTCTCCCATTCCTGTTTTGGGACATGGCACCGTGGGAAGGGCTAGTGGATAGTTGCCTCTGCATTTTGGTGTTGGCAAGGCTATCCCCTAGGAGGGTGTGAGGAAGCAGGATGGATACAGGATGTGATGTCCTGTTCAAGTGGTTCTTGCATCTCTTTTCCTTCCCCAGGGTTCCCTTTCTTGCTGTGGCCCGGACATTTGAGAAGATAGAGGAGGTTTCTGCTCGGTAATTCATTACTCAGGTCTGGGGGCAGGTGCTCTATGGCTCTGTGCTGAGCATGGCATCGAGTGCTGCCTCCTACCCTGCGGTCTTTCCTCACCTCTTCTCCCCATCATAGTCACTGTCTATTCCTAAAAATGGCTCACATCATTTTGAGGCCCAGCCTCAGAAGACCCTCAGCATCATTTTTTTCCTTTTGGTTTTTGAGACAAGGTCTCTCTATGTAGCCCTGGCTGATTTGGAAGTTACTATGTAACTCATGGAGATTTGCCTACCTTTGTCTTCTGAGTGCTGGGATTAAAGGCGCATGCCACTACACCTGGCTACAACATTATTTTTGATGGCATATTATCTTAGTCTAAGTGGGTCCAGCCTGTGTCCAAAGGCTGCATGCAGCCAAGATGGCTACGGATGTGGCTGAACACAGACATCTTACACTTAATGCATCGTGAGAACTGTCTCTCGTTGATTGTAACTTGATTGCACTGTTCTGGAGCGTGAACCTTGCAGATGACCTCACCTGTCAGTGTCAAAGGTTGAGTGTGCCTGCGAGAAACAGAAGGGTCGGCCAGATCTGCAGGGTTAGGAAACAGATTCTAGGAATTACAGGAAATGTGTCACACAAAGTGATTCAGTCTTGCTTCCTCATCTTAAGTGAATGGAAGTCCAGTCTTGGTTACAGAGAGGGTGACCCCGCTTGCCAGACTTCCCCTGCAGAGCCTTCCCTCTTAGTGATGCTCAGTATCAGTAGTCCATTTTGGCTCCTTTGCTCCTCTCCCAAATCCTGTCCCTTCCTGGCTTCTTACACCTAGAGCTTTCTTCTGTGTGTGTAGGTGCTATAAGTATTATGGAGTGTACCTCATTCTGCCTTTGCATGTTTAATCAACCTCATTTTTACTTCTCCATGTTGGCTTAAGCTTTCCTGGCATATTTAAACTTTTCTATAATATGCCTTCATTTTTATACATCTTTAGGGTGCCCTTAATGCTTTGTCCTTAGAAATGTTTCCTTGGGAATGTTTAAGAACTTCCCATGGGGTGTAACCCCACAGTGAGGTGATGGAGGACGTGGGAAGGACCTTGAGTACCAGGATAGCTGTAGCTCAGAAAGTGGCTTGTAGCAGCAGCTGGGTAAGGTGGCCAGTGGGACAGTTAACATTGCTCTGCTTCCTGGCTTTGTGCCTGTGGCAGGTGGCTCAACCTCCCTCTCTGAGACTCAGTTTCCCCATGAATAAAGGGGAGACCATACATCTCTGCCTTTTATGGAGACTGAATTTATCAACACGACGTAGGGAGACATTAGCTTTTGGAGAATCTCATACATTCTACTTAGAAGGAACTGGAAGTGGCTGTCCTGACCCATAATCTAAAATCACGGGGACAGGGGTATACAGTTGGTCTGTCTGTCTGTCTGTCTGTCTTCCTTTCCTCCCTCCCTCTTTCCCTCCCTCTTTCCTTCCATCCTTCCTTCCCTCCTTCCTTCCTTTCTTTCTAAGGTTTTTTTGGAAGATATTCTAGAAAACCTTCAAAAGCAATGGCGTGTCCTCATGTATCTGGACTGGCTTCCTTTGTGTTGATGTGTTATTGTGGTTTAGGACCATCATTAGAACCAAGATCATCAGACTGTAGACACAAAGCTGTTAGTGACAGGGATCCCTGCCTTCATTTGCATTGTGACACTTGCCCGTTTCTGTCCTGGTTTCTTTTCTGGGATTCCCACCTGTGGTGTTTAACTGGCCTGTTCTCAGGCATCCCCTCCATCTTCATCCAGCCCACACAGCCTCTTCAGTTAGGCTACATAAGTTGGGCAAATAGAAAGCCTGCAGTTTCTGTGTCACCATAACCAGCATTTCACAGGCAGCATGGCCATCGTTTTCAGTGGCTGGAGTGTCCTAGAATGGACAGCCTTGGCCTGAACCTCAGCCTGAACCTCAACCTGATGCTTCATGACCTTGGGCAAGTCATGGTCTTCCCATGCTTGTTTTCTCACTTGCAAACTGGAGATAATAATGTCACCTGTCTCAGAGGGGACATGAGGATCCATCAGTTAAATGGTGGGAAGGATTTAAAAGCAATGCCTTCTTGAGGAGGTGTCTGCATGGCTGCTGTCCTTTGTTAGTGATTACTACCATCTACATTGTCATTTTCACAGTCACCCTTCCACAGGCAAGCTGTCATTGCTCCTTTGGTTCTCCCTCCCTCTCCTTTCTCTTGTTCCTTTCCCCCACCCCCTTACTTCCTGGGACCCCACACCCTACTGACCATGAAATAGGTGGACACACTCTGGCCCTTTCCTCCAGGCTCAAGATGGTGGAGACACTGAGCAACCTGCTGCGCTCCGTCGTGGCCCTGTCACCTCCAGACCTGCTCCCTGTCCTCTACCTCAGCCTCAGCCGCCTTGGGCCACCTCAGCAGGGACTAGAGCTGGGTGTTGGTGATGGTGTCCTCCTCAAGGCAGTTGCCCAGGCCACAGGTAGGAGGGACCAACAGGAGGAGGCACTTGGAGGTTGTGAAGGAGTTGGGGGTGGGTCAAGGTAGAGGGAGAGGCCAGTGGGAAGAGTACTTGACAGGCCAGAATTTTAAGATCTGGGCAGTACAGGGTGTGGAAGCACAGCCTGTGTTGGGACGGGCTGTGGGATGGAGAGGCGCGACACCGGGACACAACTCAGTCATTGAGTTGTCTTGACTGCCTGACTGTCCATCTTGTGAGCCCTCTGCTCTTACCTAAGTGTACCGTAATGGGACTCTGCTTTGGACCATAAACAAGGTCAAGGTACACCCCATATGGTAATGGCTATTTTAGAAAGGTAGAACAACAGAAGCACAATAAACAAGAGGCTGGAGACCATTAGAGACCAACTAAGGATAGAACAGAAAACCCTCTCCACTCCCGTTGGCTTCACCCCATCCCGAGGATTTCAGTCCCATCCACCCATCTCTGAGTCTGGGTGTGCTCACCCAGCTGCCTGTCTTCCTCTGAATGGCTGTCGTTTAGGCTTCTTACACTGACCTAATGGGAGCAGGTACTTACTAGTTGTACCAATGAAGCAACCTGGAGATAACTGGAGAAACATCCAGCCAGGGAAGGGACACAGGTAGCCTCAATGTCCCCTTCCCTCTTCCTTCCCCACCATCTCCTCTATCAAGGTCGTCAGCTGGAGTCCGTCCGGGCTGAGGTAGCTGAGAAGGGTGATGTGGGGCTGGTGGCCGAGAACAGCCGCAGCACTCAGAGACTCATGCTGCCCCCACCTCCACTCACCACCTCCGGGGTCTTTACCAAGTTCTGTGACATTGCCCGGCTCACTGGCAGTGCTGTAAGTAGATCAGTGTGGCTCATCCCAACACCCAGATGTCCCAGGACCTAAAGCAAAGCATGTGGAGGGGACTGTGTGCTTTGACTGTGGGGGCTGAGTGTTCTTTTCTGCTTGTATGTTCACAGTGTCTCATCCTGTTCTCCTCTGGAGACCCTAGCACCTAATGCTATGCCTCCTGGGTGTCAGAACTCTTGTTAGTGCTTGTTGGACAAAGGGAGAAAGGCAAAGAGAGCTAGTTCATTGCCATCCATTGCTCTCAGAGCAAGAGGCTACAACAGGTGGTGGCGGTGGCAGCTTTTCCAAAGCTGAAAAGTGTCTGGTTCCTCCTCTGATGATGCCTTCCCTTTTCTCCACTTTGTTCAGTCCATGGCCAAGAAGATGGACATCATCAAGGGCCTTTTTGTCGCCTGCCGCCACTCGGAAGCGCGGTTCATTGCCAGGTAAACATGGGGCTCATGAGACTGGGGAGGCATATGGGTCTACGTTGTGAGCACCTGGCAGCTCCAGCACTGTTAACAACCCGACTGCCTCGTGATGAGAAAAGTACCAACGTGGCCCAGTTCTGACTTTGCATAGGAAGCCTTGTTAGTTACTTTTGCATTACTGTGGTCAAACTACCTTTTTGTATAATATTAAGGGCCAGCCTTAATATTATATTATCCCAGGGGGCCCATAAGGGACACTACCAGTGGCATGGGAATGAATCTAGATACACTTGAGTTCTTTAGTCCATTCACTTTATTCTTCTATGCCAATTCTGTCTACACAGTTTCAGCCCAGTCCTCACATTCAGCTCCTCTCTGTGCCCAGTCATCCTGTCCTCAGAGTTTTAGTAAGCTCTTATGCTTTTTTGACCTGATCTTTCTTCTCTGTCCCTTCTATATTCTTCCTGACTCCTTACCTGGCCCTGATAAACTCTACAAGAGATCTGTTTTATCCTCTACTGAACCTCTGTCTTTCTCTCTTCTCTCTGGCCACGTGGTTCTGTGTCCTCTATTCCTGCCTCACCCTTCACTCTTCCTCTCCTCTCTCTGGCCATGCAGTTGTGTCCACCTCTGGAATTCCACTCCAGTCCTTACTGCACCTAGTTATGTAAAACACCCTATAGTCCTCAGTCAATCTTTCTGCCATGCCCCTAGACATGGAGGAAGGGGATGGTCTGAGCTTCATTTGCACAAGAAACAAAGCTATGCATCTCCAGCCAGCTTGTTTCCTAGGCTCAACCGGGGTGGGGTGTGTGGGTGGGGTGGGGGTGGGCGAGTTAGTTACCTAGAAGTTCTGCAGGTCTGAGGAGCTGAACTGTTTGTCAGATGGTCTGGGAATATTTGGGCACACAAGAATTTCATAGCAGAAGACAGCTGAAATACTAAAAGCTGGATAACACCAAATATTCATAATAAATGGCTTGCCTTTTGACAGACTCTTGGCCGGTCAAAGTATAGCTTTAATAAATACACAGCTGAATCTCTATAATATAGTCTTGTGGCCCGCAAGAATACCTGATGGAGGAAAGGAGTATTTTAGTTCATGGTTTGGAGGGTTTGGGTCCATTATGGTGGGGAAGGCATGGTAGGGTTTGTGGCAACAGGAGTGTGTGCAGGAGGCTCCTCATACTACAGCAGACAAGGAAACAGAGTAAGACTAGAGCAAGGCATGTATAATCTCCTGTGACCTAGTGACCTGCTTCCGTTGGGCAGCCCCTGTTTCCTGAAGTTTCCACAGGCTCTCAAAAAGTACCACTAGTTGTGGACAAGCATTTAAAATGTGAGCTTGTGGGGAATATTTCATATCAAACCATAATAACTTCCTGTCATGGGCTAACTTCCCTCTATTGGTGATCCTGCCTAGAGAAGGATTCTGGAGCTCAAGGGTAAATTCTGTGATTGATTCTTTATGTCTGCCTTGGCCTGAGTTCAGCATAAAGCTGTCATGACAGTGGAAGGAAAGTCCCTGGCCTCTCTTGAAGTGTGTCTTGAAGCCATTTTTTAGGTGTTCTGCCCTGTTCCTACTGTTTGATGCCATCAGTTCTCCCAGCTACTTTGTGAGGTCGAGCCTATCCACCTTATTCAGCTGATAGAGGTGGAGGTGCGGGTCGTTTAGCTCCCTGTAGCGTGAGTGACTGGCTTAAAGCACAGCCTGGGCTGGCTCAGGTTCTTGACTGTCACACCTGCTAGCAGACTCTTGTTCTGATTCAGCTTTTGCCTGTGACTTACTTTCCACAAGCCCCTACCCTCTCACCTGTGAAGGTCCTGCTTTCTCCCAGGAATGAACAGTGGTCATGGCCATTCCTGGCCTGCCTCAGTTTCCTTGTCATTTACGGGTTATGTGATATCTTGGGTCCCTTTGAGGCTATGAAGACTCTCTGGACATTTAAGAGGTTCCACAAAAGGTGGAGATTGGGGAGACAGGAACAGGTAAAGTGTGGAGGGCCAGACTGGAGAGTGGCCCGCTTGCTCACCCTTGCTGCTCTCTCCGCAGGTCCCTCAGTGGACGGCTGCGCCTCGGGCTGGCTGAGCAGTCAGTCTTGGCTGCGCTTGCCCAGGCCGTGAGCCTCACGCCCCCTGGCCAAGGTGAGTTACTCTGGCCCATTTTTATGCCAACACTGTGTCCCCAGGGCTTCCCTTCTCCATCTATTGCCCTATTCTCCTCTGAAAATGCTCCTGGGCAGCCCACCTCATTCCTTTCCCTGTCACATGCCATACACTGCCCTCAGTGACCCTGGGTCCTTGAATAGTGGAAGGGTCATGTTCATCACTAAGCTGCTGGTGGGTCTTTTCATAGACTTTCCCCCAGCTGTTGTGGATGCTGGGAAGGGCAAGACAGCAGAGGCCAGAAAGATGTGGTTGGAAGAACAAAGCATGATCTTGAAGCAGACCTTCTGGTGAGATGCAGGGATGGGGCAGACTGATGGCTAACACGTGAGTGACTGACGTGGGTCTAACAGCAGCAAGGGGCTGTAGTCCAGACAGGGATGATACTGAGTTGTGAGCAGTGAGAGGCAGACACTGACAGCATGTGGGGCTGCAGGCACAAGACACCCCGAGTTCCAACCAAGGCCCTAAGGGACCCAGAGAAGAGGCTGGTGACTACTTGTAATAGATGTTACAGGCACAGAGAGGATTAGGGCTCTATAGTGAGCCACATGGAGGAATTTTGGTCAGCAGTTGACCTAAGACCTTTGACTGGGTGACCATAGTAGAGGAAAGAGGGCTGTGGGCAGTTCCGTAAATGTCCCCAAGGCACCTGACCTGGGCCTGACTGCCTGGGGTGCTGGGCGTACGGCAGTCGTGAGTTTCTTACAGATCTCCCCGTGGCTCAGCCTCTGGAGGCTCCGCTATCTGCCAAGTTCTGTCCGACCCACTCCGCCCTTCCCAGACTAGCTGAACAAGTTAGCGGTGACCTTGAGTGGGACATAGCCATTGCTCTCAGGACGTGAGCGAGGGGTGATGGAGGTTGCATGCTGAGGGAGACAGTCAGCATGATGTGTGGTGACTGACAGTAGGACACAGTGATGAGGAGTTTAGGACGTGGTCACAGAGTTAAGCAGAGGTGTTCAGGAGCCCAGGTCTGGCACGGGCTGAGGGATCTCTGTATTTGCACTTGTATATAGACAGAGTTTTCAAGTTCTAGAAAGAACCTCCATGGGCTGGGTGTGGTGGTACACACCTGAAATCTCAGTACACACTTGGGATCTCAAGTTATAGGCCGACTTGGGGTACGTAGGAAGATCCTGTCTTATAAAATCACGGAGTGGGAATGTGGCTTAGCAGTTGAGTGTTTGCCTAGAATCCACTAGTGAGGGGCTAAGAGCGTGTCTCAGTGATACAGGACATGCCTAGAATCTAACACCTAGAATCTAGCAGTATCTGCCTAGATTCATCCTGATCTGGATTGGGGTGTGGCCCAGCAGCAGAACATTGCCTTCATATGCCTAAGATCCTGGGTTCTACCCCTTCTCCCAGCACTTGGAAGAAAACAAAAGACCTTGTCATCTTGCTTTCTTCTCTCCAACCCCTCCCTAGTGAGGTGCCTGACCTGGATCGAATCATCCCTGTGCTGCTGGAACATGGCCTGGAACGTCTCCCAGAGCACTGCAGGCTAAGCCCAGGTACCACGCCATCGGCCTCGAGGTGGGGGCAGCTGTCCTCCATTGAGCTGGTGTGAGCAGTCGCACCCAGACGGCTTCTGAGTGCTGTTTCCCTTTGCTGAGACCCTTTCCTTTTCCCCTGAGCTCTCCTTACGAACTGAACAGAGCCTGGGCTACAGCAGCAAAGATTCCCCAGAAGGCAGTGGCCGAGGAGAGTCTGTCGTGTATCTACATGTGTAGAGCACGACTGGCAGCCATAGAGCATGTAGCTGTGCTTCAGTGGTCATCCAGGGACCTGGATTCCTCTTATCTCGTCCCTCTGCTGTCTTGAAGCTGTCACTCTAAAGCCTATATGATTAGGGAAAGAGGGGAGGTAATGTTGCTTGTAAAATGTGACCATATACTGCTCTTGTTACTCCTGAGCCCATTTATGGCCTTTCTTAACTGCCAGGGAGGTTGGTATGGGGACCCAAGTGTGTCTTCTGAAATGCGGGTGGTTCTCTCCTTTACATTATGGCAGGAGAAGAGAGTAGTAGGTCCTGGGCACATTGGTAGCCTTTGCCTCTCCCTCTTAATTTCTTGATAGATTGCCTTTCCTCTGCCCTCCTAATTTGCTTTCTTCCCTCCCAGGGGTCCCTCTTAAACCAATGCTGGCCCATCCCACTCGGGGTGTCAGTGAGGTACTGAAACGCTTTGAGGAGGTGGACTTCACCTGCGAGTACAAATATGATGGGCAGCGGGCACAGGTATGGGTCGAGCACAGCCCTTCCTGTATGAGAAGGGTACTCTGTACAAGTCCGGAATGGCACAATCCTCTCTCTGGCTTTAGTCTCCCCTCTGTTCAGTGAGTGCAGTACCCTTCACCTCCAGCTTATGGCAAAATGGGGTTGCTAGAAGTTCTGACCTGTAGAAGGGTCACCAGGAGATGCTGACTCCCCTGGTACTTGGTGAATACAGTATGATTTATGGTTGCCGTTCTGGGACGCCCTTGTGTGACTCTTAGTGCAGTGATAGGCGTGTGCCTCCTGAGACCAAGGCATTGGTGCTGAGGAAGTATGCTATGGCTTTTCTGTCTTGGTGGGATTGGGGACTAGCTTGGCGTTTATCACATGAGGAAGGGATAGCACACAAGGTGAGTGGTACCTGGGGCTTTGAGGCAGTCACAGCCGTGGATTCCACACGCACAACCTCAGCAGTGAGTCTTCAGAATAATACTGAGAAGACAATCAGAAAACAGTTTATAATAGTGGTCATGATTATAAACATATGTGCATATGTATGTTAAAGATACTGTACATATGAGATGGCATATATATATATATATATAAAACCCTCTTAAACCCTGTGACCAGACAGTATTCCGACAGCTGTGCCAACAGTAGAATCCAGAGTGCTTCAGTTGTAGCACAACTCATTCAGACAGGTCTGTGTTGCATTCAACAAGGTGGATGAACTTTGAGAGACAGGGAGGTAGGGAAATGGGAAACAGAAGCGATGAAGTTAGACACCAGGCTGGTAAAGTGACAGTAGGCAAGATGCTTTACCAAGCTTGATGACCTGAATTCGATCCCCAGGACTCACATGGTGGAGGGAGAGAACTAACTTCCTCAGCTTGTCCTCTTACCTCCACACTCAACAGTGTGATAAATCTTGTACATGTGTGTGTGTGTGTGTGTGTGTGTGTGTGTGTGTGTGTGTGTGTACATACATTATATAAAGTTAAAAAAAAACCAGGGGGAAAAAAGATGTTGTATGCTATACACAGGTTGCAGGTACCAGGAAACTTAAGATGATTTGCTCAGATCTCTGTAGCAGCTCATTGAGCTTCCCAAACTTACCTGTGAAGGTAAAGTCTGAAGCCAGTGTCACACAGAAAGGGCTTACCTGACTTCCTTTCCCTTCCCCTGTGATGGTAGATCCACGTTCTGGAAAGTGGAGAGGTGAAGATCTTCAGCAGGAACCAGGAAGACAACACAGGAAAGTACCCTGATATTATCAGCCGCATCCCCAAGGTGAGTGGCTGCCTCCTGGGCTGTGGTACAGCCCCCTCTGGACCAACCTGGTGCAGTAGGGGCGGGGCTTATTAGGAGACTGGAAGATGTATAGCTGTGTATAACAACCTTGCTTCAGTATGGTTTGAACAGATGTTGCGTTATTTCTGCAGTCTGGAGGCAGGTGCTCCAAGGCTGTTCTGATTCCACTGTCCTTGGTTGGCTAGCTTGTCATCCTAGTCTTGTCTGCCTGCAGCTGCCACACTTCCAGACAGAAACAGAGGGAAAGGGGGTTCTAGGCTATGTCTAGCCCATGGGAAAGTTAATGCTTTCCTGGACCCCTTCCCCTGTCCCCCCCACTGGCTTCAACTTGTGGACACTGTCTAACACGGGTTTCCATGAACGTCCTTAGCAGAATCCTGGATCAGCCTGGAGCCTGTCCATAGTGAGGCCAAGAGAGGACCTAAAGGGCACTGGCCTGTGAACAGCTGGAGCTTTACAAGTAGCTCAGAGGCAGGGCAGGGCTGGGTCTTGGGCCAGGGGTTTCTCTACACTTCCTGGATGTTGGGAATTGAACCCAGGTCTTCTGCAAGAACATCAAGTGCTCTTAAGCACTGAGCACATCTTGGTTTTGCTGTTTCCTGGAAGTGCCCTTATGCAGCATGTTTTCTGTACCCGTTCACTCAGCAAATGTGGATTAGGCATCTGTGTATGCCATAGCCTGTGGTAGCACAGCCAGAGCTTGCTGCTTTCATTAGAGGGGGGCACTGTAGACTCTGAAGGAAAGGTCCAGCATCTGTGACCCTGAATAAGAACCATAACTGACTGGGACATTGTTCAGTGTTACAACAGTGGCCTAGAGTCTACTAATGAGAAATTGGGGGTGTGGCTTAGAAGTAGAGCTCTTGTCTTGAGTCCACCAATGAAGGGCTGAAGGCATGGCTCAGTGGTAGGACGCTTGCTTGGTATGTCGTGCCCAAGGCCCTCTGTTCAGTTCCTAGCACTGAGTGAGGGAAAAGTAGGTTTGAATTGGACTTTCTTGAATTATCAAGTAAGCAGTGTCTTAAACCATACAGCCAGCTCTGGGATGCAACACGAAAGGCGGCCCCTGACATTCTACCAGTGTTTTAGTGAGGGAAAAGAAGGCTTCCCAGGGAAGGTAAACCACAGGAAAGGGGATAGGGAGGAAGGCAGGCATTGCATAGGAAACAGCATGTGCAAAGGCCCAGTGCTGTGAGACGCCTGCTCCTTAGAGACACAAACCAGCTGATGTGCTGAAGTGAAGAGAAGACTAGGGGCTGATGAAGAGTTCTCCAGAGCCCAAGGAAGTTCACACCATTTTTATCAGCAGGCACAGCAATAATAATCAGGGTTTGTGGCAGTCACCTTGGCTGTTGGCTAGAGGTGCTATTGCAGGGGTCAGTGCAAGTAGGCAGCAATTGGGGTGACTGAGGCAAGCTGTGGTGAGGTGAAAGCTCAGAGACCTCAGAGGGGAAGTGCTGGGTTCAGGGAAAGTTGAATGTGGTTGAGAGGAAGAGGGAAGTTCCTCTGGGTGCAGCCGCTGAGTCTGGTCCATGGCACGAAATGGCAAGTCACCAGGAAAACCAGTGCCCCTTGGTGAGGACTCAGGAGGATCTATGTTCTTGTATTTGCTGAGGTCAGTTGTGGTTCATGAGAGCAATGGAGGGAAAAAGAATTCATTGGCTTGTTTCTGTCCTTTGACCTCTTCCCTCACTTTGCAGATTAAACTCCCCGCAGTCACATCTTTCATCCTGGACACTGAGGCTGTGGCCTGGGACCGGGAAAAGAAGCAGATCCAGCCATTCCAAGTGCTCACCACACGAAAGCGCAAGGTAGCATCAGCCCATCAATTTCCTGTTGCAGTGGCACACTCTGTCTCTTTCCTTCCAGTGCTGACTTTGGGTCCTACCTGGTCCCCTCAGGGGGCAGAGTGAATCTGAGTGTGGGTCTAGCTTTGGCAAAGTGGTTACCATTGTTCCAGCCATCACTTTCTCACCCCAGGATCTCAGTTAGGAGAGATTGAAGGGTCCTTTTCCTGTTTTTATCATTTCACTATGAAAGGCCTATTGGGGAAGTCGCATACCCTGGACCTCAGCTGGCTTTCCTTTTATATCTAGCTTGTTGGTGTTGTGGCATTTTTTCATCATTAGCTGCAAGGGAGGCTGGAAAGCAAACCATGCAGTGAAGGAGGGTTAAGTCAGGATTTCCCAGGAGTCATCCTCATTCAGGGCTTATGTCTGCAGCATTGCTGCCTCCTCAGCAGTGTGATCCCCTTGCCTGGGGGGAGGAGTGAGGAATGGTAGGTGTCTGTCCGAAGCATGATGGGATAGGGCACAGAAGGTCACCTCCCCTCCCCTCATTCCTGGTCTTTATTCTGTTCCAACTAGGAAGTTGATGCATCGGAGATCCAGGTGCAGGTGTGTCTGTATGCCTTTGATCTCATCTACCTCAACGGAGAGGTGAGTTCTGCTCTGTGACAGGTGCCACACAGAGAGTGGCAGGTTGGAGTGAGCTTGGAGTCTGTCTCTGCTGCTTCTGATTCTGCTCCATCACTGAGCTGGAATGTCATGCTCAGGCAGTGAGCCTTTCTAAGTGTGGGCTCAGTAGGCTAGAGGCCCCCAGACCTTTTGTGCAGGGTGATTTTGAGGACTCCTGGTATGGTTTTACATCTGTATGAAGTAGATTTTTCTCCCTGTGATTTCAGAAGCAGTGGAAAAGCCAGCCTCTGTTCTGTTGAGAAGGGTCTGCACACTGTCAGTCAGTCAGTGCCCCTCTTCTCGCTATTTATTTTTAAATAGATGTGTGTTTTATAAAATACACTGTTTGGAGGTGTATAAGTACTATAAGTAGAGTACCTGCCTGGCTTGCTCAAGGCCCTGAGCTCCATTTGCAGAACACAAAAAAGAGGGAGAAAAATGCTAATTGGCCATATTGGATACACTGTTTTTTAATGAATTAACTATATTTTAAATTTTGAATTTCTGATATTGTGAATATCAAGAAGTATGGCCACCTCTCTCCTCCCCCTAAATAGAAGCCCTTTAAAGAGAGTCCTCAAGTACTTTTTAACAAGCTGAGGTCACGACTCAGTGGTAGAGCCCCTGCCTAGAATACCCCAGTGAGGGGCTGGGGCTCAGAAGTAAAGTGTCTGCCTAGGATTTATGAGACCTCATGTTATGTCTCTAGTATCTGCTAAAAACATAAACATTTTAAAAAAAAAGGCTATAAAGAGTTTTAAAACTGAAAATTTGAAAATGGTCACTTAAGGGTACTGGTTAAGAAGCTGATGATTACTGTCACAGAAATTGTTCTCACCCAGCCTCTGGAGAACTCATCGTGTGTATTTAGGGGGTTGGGACGAGTGACAAGATCTCCCATTCTTTTCTTGCCTCTTCTGACTGCTTCTCTCTTGATATTTTCTGTCTGGGCAGTGCCAGTCAAATCTCTGTACCTGGTCCAGATCTGATTCTGTCACTGGGCTATCAGGAGAACTGATGGTCTATATGTTTCTGGCTAATTGAGCCACATAGCACATATTGTTTCCACCAGATAGATGAGTTTGTCTTAGGGAAGTAAGGAGAGCAGAGGCTAGCTTTCTTATGGATAGATGACATCTTATTGAGGTTCTATCTGTCTTGTCTGTGTGTATAAAGTGTGTGTGTGTGTGTGTGTGTGTGTGTGTGTGTGTGTGTGTGTGTGTGTGATCCTTCCTCAGCCTCCTGAGTTAGCAAGCAGTTAAGCTTGTTAGTTAGCTAGTTAGCAAGTACCACCCCCTGCCTAGCTTACTTCACTATTGTTTATAAAGGACCTTAGCATGTGTGAACTTTGTATCTGGGATGGGGGGCTCCCAGACTCCTCTCCATAGATATTGAGGCACCATTGCATTGTTAATCTTTTTCTCACTTAGGAGGGGATTCTCAGTTCTCTGTTAGTGTAGGGAAGATCCCCTTGGAAATGTGTATTAACCTTGTGGTCTTAACCCTTATTGGGTGGTACTAAAAATGACAAGAAGTAGGGCCTGTGTGATGGCATTCAGCATATAAAAGTGCTTGGCTGGCAAGCCTCATAACATGACTTCAGTCCCCAAAACCCTATGTGGAGATGAGAGAACTGACTCCACAGAATTATTCTCTGACCTCCACATGTGTGCCATGGACACCCATATCTGCATATTATGATAAACAAATTTATAATAAATAAAAACTAAATTATAATTCCACAAAGTGTTCATTCTGGCACCAGGTGGATGATGGATGATGGCTTCCCATTAGGTAATCCTGAGTTCAGCACACTAGTGGGGTCTGCTTTTCTCTGATCCCTCCGTCTATAGTTAAAGTTCTGACGGTCCTGCTGGCCGCTGGTTCCTCCTTCCCCAAGGCTTTCTGTAACCACATGTGTGCCTGCTGTGTACACTGTCAAGGTCCGGACTTCTACAGTTTTTATTTCCTCAGTGTTGTCCACTTTCTCTCCTCAGTCCCTGACTCGCCAGCCCTTGTCTCGACGCCGGCAGCTGCTCCGGGAAAACTTTGTGGAGACAGAGGGTGAATTTGTCTTCGCCACCTCCCTGGACACCAAGGACATTGAGCAGATTGCTGAGTTCTTGGAGCAGTCGGTGAAGGGTGAGTGCAACCACTCTTCTCTCTACGGGTCTGAAGCCTTGCTGTAGCCTGCGCTGACCGTGTTTCCATTTCCCAACCCCTGAGATTTGCCTGGAATCCTGCCTGCTCAGGCCTTGTGGGCCACTCTTTGCCAAATCAGGCTTCCGTGTTTCCTACAGACTCCTGTGAAGGGCTGATGGTGAAGACCCTGGATGTCGATGCCACCTATGAGATCGCCAAGAGGTCACACAACTGGCTCAAGGTGACTCTGGCCTCTGACTGGCTTTCCCAGTGTGGACGCCTGCCCCCCTGTGCGCTGGAGTCTCCAGCCACTCCCCGTTATATGATTCCTGCCTCAGCAAAGCATGGCTAATGGCGCTTCCAGGAACTCACTGTGAACTGCTTAGCCTACACCTTGGTTCCATCATGGTGAGGAAGCCAAGCCAGGTCTCTGTGCTCCTGTGCTGGTGTCATTGTTGTAGGAGGCACTCAAAGGACAGTCCTTGGGTTGTGTCCGAGATAAACCGCCTCTGATGAGCTCATGAGGAAAGAGTCAGCTTGGTTAGGGAAGGTCTTGGGGGGTTCAGAAAAGCCCTCCAGCTCGACATCTGGTACAACTCTGGACAGCAGGGAGGGGTGGGCCATGTGAAGATGAGGGCAGAGCATTTGGGCTGGGGAGCCACAGGTACATCGGCCCCGGAGGCGGAGTAGGTTCAGTGTCACAGGATACAGGGTGGGCAGGGGAGGTCAGGGGAGCAGGCTATAGACTGTAGCACCTAGCACCCTGTGAGATGAAACTGGGTTCTTTTCTAAATTTTTCAGGAAGCAAGCAGAGTCTCAGAGAAAGTCTGATCCTGTTGTCACTTTGCAGATGTCCTCTGGCTGCTTTATAGAGAATAAGCCAGTGTGATGTATGATTGGGCAAAAATGAGAAGGGGGTGGAAGAGTGTTTGCTGGCACAAGATGACAGATGGAGGCGCTTGGGAACTGGGCAAGCTAGGCCTGCCGTGCTTTTCCTCTTGCCTCTGGTCTGTTTCTCCTATCTAGAAGCAGCTCATTGTGTGCAAACCTTCCCTGCCTTAGCAATAATTCACTCTTTTACCCACAATCTTAAGTGCCTGCCTGTCACTCAGCTGGTGCTTCATAAGTGTTTCTTGAATGGATGGGTAAGTGTGAAGGGATGGGTTGAGTGAGTTAACCGTGACTGTTTGGGGACTGAAGCAAAGAGAAACAAGGTAACCCCCAAGCTGGATGTGGTACATACCATAACCCTAGCACTTTGGAGGCTGGGGCAGGAGGATCCAGATTCCAGCTCAGCCTGGAAATATAAAAGGTGATTCCCCTCACATATCTCTAACTCCTTTGCTTTGCTTCAAGATGAAAAGCCCTTTTACCTGCAACTTCTCCAGCAAGCTTTCCTTGCTTCTCTTCCTCAAAGTTCTCAGGTACTCAAGGACAAGCCTCAAGTAGTGAGTTCCCACCTGCCCTTCTACCCCTCTCATCCCTCGCTTCTCTCCTCCAGCTGAAGAAGGACTACCTTGACGGCGTGGGCGACACTTTGGACCTTGTAGTGATTGGTGCCTACCTGGGCCGGGGGAAGCGTGCCGGCCGGTATGGGGGCTTCCTGTTGGCTGCCTATGATGAGGAGAGTGAAGAACTGCAGGCCATATGCAAGGTCCTGGGGACTGGGTGCTGGTCACAGAATCGGGAGGGATAAATTTACACTCTGGGATGTGCCTGTGTCATCATGCATGTGCAGGCTCCACCAGCTCTGAATAAATGAGTGGTGCCTCACATGGTTACCCATGTGATCAAGTGGCTTGTAATATGTCATATTTTTGGGCACTAATCTGTGGTCAGAAATTTTTTTTGCAATATTTTTACATTTTTGCAGTATTTATCTAGAATGGGGATTTAAAAGCACTATTATTAGGACAGAAGGCAAACAGTAATATGGCTATCAATACAGACAGGACTTGTCTAGTTAGAAACTTACATAAGCAGTTTAAAGATAGCTACCAGCACGGAGTATTACTACTTTTTAGCATTTCCTAAATGTTGGTTCTAAGTTTAATGGTGGTGTTAAAAGAGTAGGAGTGGTAAGAGGTGGTGCAAGCCTGTAATCCTAGCCCTTGGGAGGTAGGAGAGTCACAAGTCCAGTGCCATACTGGATATGAAGCTGGGAGTGTAGCTCAGCAGTACAACTGTTGCCTACGATCCCCCATGAGGGGTTGAGGCTGTGGCTCAGTGGTAGAGCCCCTGCCTAGAATCCCCCAGTAAGAGGTTGGGGGTGTGGCTCAGTGGTAGAGATCTTGCCCAGACATTGGAGAGACACAGCAGAGGAGATAATTTTTTCTAGAAAGCAAAGGGCAGTGCATGACAAGCGTAGTCTTTCAGGGCAGGATATTTTCCCCTTCCTTGAGCTTTGGCCGAATGCTCAGTAGCATCACTCCACCTCATCTCAGGTGGCAGGAGCAGGATTAGGTGCTGGACCAGCTGGCCAGATGAGATTCTAATTCGCCATATTTTCCTGCAGCTGGGAACTGGATTCAGCGATGAAGAGCTGGAGGAGCATCACCAGAGCCTACAGGTGGGCTGCATGACTGCCCGGCGCCTCTCATCATACTCTGTGCCAGGGCTCTGGTAGTATGGATTCCGAGAACATCTAGATTTAAGTCCCAGATCTGCCAGCTACTTCCTGGCAATGCTGGCCAAGGGACTGCATGTCCCAGCACAGCATACATCTAGGAGCTGTCCCTTAGAAGTGCTATGAGCCTCTAGAGAAGGACGATCTTTCTTAGTAGTCTCAGGCGTTTTCTCTGTCCTGTGTGTTGGTATCTTCAGGTCTGACCCCATCTCTGTCCCATTCTTGGATATCTCTCTGCTGTTCCCTAGGTTTGTGTCCCTCACCTCAAACTCCCCCTCACCCCCTCAAGTGTTGTCTATGTATGTGTCTGTGTCTCTCTGTATCTTTAGTATCCCTTCTCAGTCCCAGTGGTGTCTCCTTTCTTCCCTTTATCATTTTCCTTGGATACCCCATGTCTAGCTTTTTGACTTAAGGATTGCTTAGACAGCATCTTCTCCACTTTCTTCTCCCCTTCTCTCATCTCTAACCTTCTCCCTCTAAGGCTTTGATAATTAAGCTCATCTCCTTTCCCTCTGCTCATTGCAGGCTCTGGTTTTGCCGACCCCACGCCCCTATGTGAGGATTGATGGGGCAGTGGCCCCAGACCACTGGCTGGACCCAAGCGTCGTGTGGGAAGTGAAGTGTGCAGATCTCTCCCTGTCCCCTGTCTACCCTGCTGCACGGGGCCTGGTGAGTGCTGGGGTCTGGGAAAGATTCTAGGAGGAAAGACAGAGCTGTTGGGGAGAGACTTTGGGTTGTGCTCTTCCTGTGTATTGATTAAGAAACCTGGAATATACTTGGGTGTCAGATATCATTCCAGCTGTAGTAAGAAGACAGTGACATTGCTCCCTTTGGTAGCATCTCACCTTCATCTCCAACGTAACCTGAGAACCTAGACTTATGTGAAAATTCAGCATGCCTTCCCATTGTTTCCTTCATGACTGAAGTTGCTACTTCACCCAGAATTAATTGTCATGCTACCAAGTTTTGCAGTTCCGTGGCTAATGTCCCTGTGTCAGAACAGGTCAGTGATGTAGCCGGTGGCTACAGCAGTCAGTAGGTAGCACACAGGAGATAGTACAACTCAAATTGAAGGTTCTTTTGACCTTTCTTCCTGTCCTGAAGCATGGCTGGCATGTACTTTCTGAGTATAAACAGACTTATATTTTGAAAAGTGTATCTCCTGGGTTTTTGTTTTTTAGGGTTTTTTGGTCTTAAGCCAGAGCCTGGTGCGTGCTAGGCAAGTTCTCTACTGCTGATCATGCTCTTACTAGGGGATTCTAGGCAGGTGTTTTACTACTGAGCCACATCACTGGCATCTCACTGGGGTATTATGCTCTATCATACCCCTCTTTCCTTTTTTCTCTATTTTTACCCTGTATTTTTGTTTTTGTTATTGTTTATTTTAGACAAATTCTCATTAACCTACACAGACCTTGAACTTGAAATTCTCCTGCTACATCTTCCTGAGCAGCTGGGATTGCAAGCAAGTTCTTCCAGGCTCAGTTTATCTCATTAAAAAAAAAATTCATACTTACTATACAGTAGAGAGCAAGGGTTCTTGGTACCAAGTGCAGGTAGCTGGCCTTTGTCCTGCATTTACTGTGATGCAGCCATAGGTTAGTAACTGGCATATTACCCGTTTAAGTCTCATAGAAATGTTAGTCTGTGTACTTGTGCTCGTAGGTGAGAATGAGCATCACAGAGAGCTGAGGTCACTGCCTTGAGCTGCCCGCTGGCATCAAAGCCCCAGCTGCTTTCCAGCACTCGTCCTCATTAGGATGCTAACTGCATAAATAACTATAGCAGCTGATACTTCCTGAGTGTTAAAGTACACCAGGTACCAGGATTTCAAACATGCTGACACCTTCTTTAACCTTTATGGCCCATTGCTCAGCCCCATTGAACCAAGGCCCAGGTCAGGAAAGAGGAAGAGACTAGGGAATCACTTGTCAGCTTACTGCAGTTGGAACCCTGCAGAGCGCCCCCACTACTGTCCTCTCTCACAGGTGGACAAAGAGAAAGGGATCTCCCTTCGTTTCCCTCGGTTCGTTCGCATCCGTGGAGACAAGCAACCAGAGCAGGCCACCACCAGTGACCAGGTGAGGCCCTGGGAAGGGGGTTGGTTCTGGCCAGGAGCCAGAGAGGTAGGAGTGGCTGGGGAGGAGCTGCTGATACCCTCCACCCTCTCCTCAGGTGGCCTGTTTGTACCGGAAGCAGAGTCAGATTCAGAACCAGCAAAGCTCAGACATGGACTCCGACTTTGAGGACTGCTATTAAACCTCTGGCCTCCTGGGCCTGGGGCAGAGGTTGAGGGAACCTGGGTACTGTTCACCTGGTGGTGTTGACTGGTGTGTGTAGGGACATAGGGGTGGGATACTGGGGCTGGGATGCTTCATTTTCTTCAATAAATGACTATTAAATGCCTACTCTGTGAGGAGGTCCACACTGAGCTGGGTGGCATTGGTCTGTGAGCTCACATAGGGTATAGTATATGACCTTGCCAGGTGCTGGACAAGTGTCATGTTCCCCGCATTCTGGCAGCCTCCAGCCATTTGTGCTGTGGAACATTCAACATGTAGCCGTTGCCACCTAAGTCCTAAGACTAGAACAGTTTATTTTACTTTAAATAGCCACATGTGGTCAGTGCTAGTCATTGAATAGCAGTAGTTGGGAGCCTTCATGTTTTAACTTCTTTGAACTCCTAGCACTCTGGCAGGTTGACACTGTCGTGCTGTCTTTTGCAAATGTAGGTGAGGACACTGAGACTTCCAGGGGCCACCAAGTGCCTTGGCCAAGAGCACCAGCACTTATGGTTCCAACCCAGTGGCCTGACAGGCAGTCAGTCCCACATCTTCCTAACAAGGTCCCCATTCCCTTGGGAGACAGTGGTGCAGTACCAGGTGTGTGGTTCCCATTTGTGTCACCCACCATCTTATTACCAGACATCACCTTAGAATCCTCAGTGTAGCATTTCAGTCATCACTCCACAAGATCAGGTAGTGACTGTGGCTGCTTTGCTTATGGCAGTGCCCTGGACATAATATCTTGTGTATGGCAGGTGATCAGAAGTACTAGCTGAGTGCCAGCCTCCTTTGGCACATGACCAGAGACCAGGCATCACTGTTAGTCTTCCCCCAGTGTCCCTTTCCTTTCCTCCAGTGCTTCAGGAGGGACTGCGGTTCTCACAGAGGTGCAGATAGCCCTAGCTAGTTTGTGGTCCCATGAAGGTCACCTGAAGCTGGAGAAGATACAGACATGTTGCAAAACTTACGCAGATGTGATAGAAAGGCTCTTAAGATGAGAGGGAGAATCTTCTAGAAAGCCCTGCTTTTCTGAGATGGTTCCAGAAAGAACTGGGCCCTGGCAGGTTTTAGGGACCTGTAGCAGCTAGCTTTCTGGCCACCAGCTGGAGGAGACATGGACCAGGAGGAGGGTAGACAAACAGGCAAAGTCCAGGTCTGCACAGCTAGAGCCATTCTTGTGGGACACAGTGAAGCCTATCTTAGTTGGCTATTGCTGTGATAAAACACCATGACCAAAAGCAACTAGAGGAGGAAAGGGTTTATTTCAGCTCATAGGTTCACTTCATCATCAGCAAGGGAAGTCACGTTTGGAACCTGGAGGCAGGAACTGATGCAGAGGCCACAGAGACGTGCTGCTTACTGGCTCACTCCCCCTGGCTCGGTTTTCTTACAGCAACTAGAACCACCAGCCCAAGGGTGGCATTGACCACAGTGAGCAGGATCTTCTCACATCAATCATCAGTCAAGAAAATGCCCTACAGATTTGCCTACAGGCAACCTAGTGGAAGCATTTTGTCAAGATTCCATCTTCCCAGGTGACCATACCTTGTGTCAAGTTGACACAGAACCCAGCTGTAGCTGAAGTTTTCCTGTGTCCCACCTGGCCTGTGGTCAGGATAAATCTCTCTCACCCACCAGTCCTGCAGCTGCTTGGACCCAGGTAAACACACAGAGGCTTATATTAATTAAAACTGTATGGCCTAATAGCTCAGGCTAACTATTGACTAGCTCTTACACTTAAATTAACCCATAATTCTTATTTATGTTTAGCCACATGGCTTGGCACCTTTTCAAGAAGTTCTGCCTTCATATCTTGCTTCCTCTGTGTCTGGCTGACGACCCCTGACTTCCCAGAATTCTCTTCTCTGCTTGTTCCGCCTATACTTCCTGCCTGGCTACTGGCCAATCAGCACTTTATTTATTAACCAATTAGAGCAACACATTTACAGCATACAGAGCGATATCCACAGCACTTCCCCTTTTCTTTTTTTTTTTCAAAAAGGAGGGTTTTAACTTTAACATAGTAAAATTACATTATAATATCTAGTCTATTTGTATTTGGCAAATTAAAGAAGATATCCTACCCTATATTTGCGAGTCTAAGGTTTCATATCTAACTTACCTTTTATCATAACTAAGGAAATCATAACTATCTAGTCTTCAACTACATCAAAGACCTCAGAAGGATATAATATTACCTAAGTAAACAGGAAGTGCATTATAAGCAACTTTCAAAAATCTAGAATGACAGAGACAGCTGGCTGCCTGGACAGTCATCCAAAGTTCCTCTGTAAAGTTGGGGTATCTGTCTTAAGCCCACAGGCCTAGCTAGAGTCTCTCAGTCACTTCTCTCTGTGTCCTGTAGAATGTCTGGCAGTTTCTTCTGTGAAGCAGGAGCCTGAAGGACCATTTTGCCTTGTAAAGTTCAGTGGTCACCTTCGTATGCATGTCCAGTCGATACATTTTTGTCAAGCAGTCCAGGCAAGAACAGTTTCTTGCCCAAATGGTTATTTTTGCAAAGAAGAAGATAAATTCCTTATGGAGTGTCTTCGATGCCCATCTTTTTCTTTGAAGTAAATCGTGCTGCCAGGAGCAGACATGTCTCACTGTCCAGAAAGTCTAAATTTTTAAAACATTTTAAATGCCATATTCTGTAGGTCTTTGAAGTGTTTGAAGATTGATTACTTGCCCGATTGAATTATATCTATGTATACCTAGAAAACTTAACATGACTATAAGTTTGACCATCATAGAAGACGAATTATTAATCTGTATTTCTTGATTATCCATTATAATCTAAATGAGTTACAATCTTCTGTCTTAGCCAGAACATACTAAATATTAGATTCAGGTTCTTCAGGATAGGACACCTTTTGGAATGATCTCTGTAATGTGCCATTTACCCATGCTCCATCCAGACTTCTCTGGATTTTGTATGTGTCTCTTGTTTGATATTTGTGTTGGCTGTAGTTCCATCTTGTCTAGGTCATTATCCCTTATTCCTCCTGGACAATATTTGATAATCATTCCTATTGTATATAGTTTTGCATTAGGTTAGAACTTTCTTATTTAGACAAAAGGGGGAGATGTACTTTGACCTGGAAGTACTACCCCCATTGAGGCTTCGGTAACTGTCACACCTACGAGGCGGGGCTGAGACAGGAGCCCTTAAGACCTGAGACCGGATGTGCCAGTTCTCTTGGTTCCTGAATCCTGGACGCTGGAGGGAGACCGAGCAGAGTTCTCCAGAGAACACCGCTGGACTGCACTTCACCTCTCCCGGACCCTGTTACCTATCCCTTTACTTGTAAGTTACCCCACAAAATAAACCTCCCTTTTAACTACATGGAGTTGCCTTGATACTTCCACCGATACCCAGCCCTCACAAAGCCCCTTTCAAAGCACTTGTCCTGGCCTAGGGAGATGGCGCAGTCAGTAAAGGGTTTACTGTGCAAGCATGGCGACCTGAGTCCAGGCTGCCTCAGAACTCACATTAAGGAAAAAATAAAAGAGCCAGGCACCATACTGTGTGCCTGTAATCCCAGCACAGAGGCAATAGAGACAGCAGGATCCCTGGAGCTCGCTGGGCCAGCCAGTCCAGCCGAATTGCCAGGCTCTAGATTAAGTGAGAGGCCAGACCCACCTCAAAAACTAATGTGGAGAGTGATTGAAGAAGACATCTGACACACTTGGAGCGTACTTAAGTACACACGTGAACATGCACATCCACGTGAATACGTGATAGGAGCACGTACATACACACAAAACCAGATAGATGTCTTTGGGGGTCTGTTTGCTGCAGTTGACATCCTACCTGGGCTGTTGTAAGAGTTGAATAAGGTGAGGCAAGGAGGAGCTTGAAGCACAGGTGTCAGTATGGTCCCCGGCCAGCACAGTCCTAGTGGGATCCAGTTGTGCAAGCCTGAGCCTGAACCAAGTGGCTTTTGGCCTTCCTGCCTTGCTAGTGATTTCCCTCTCATATTCTCACCAGTGAGCTCCACTAGTTTGTAAATGGTCTACATTTAACAGGTGAAGGTTCTGAGGCACTGGGCTCTACTGTCTGGGTGATGGGGGCGCAGCGGGGTGGGGTGGATGAGACAGGATTGTTTGGGCTATCTGCTTCAGGCCACATATTCACAGTAAGTATGCCAGGAGGGCCTTGTGTGCACCTATGAGAATATGGAACCTGCTACAATCAAGTCTGCAAGGAAGGAGTCACGCTGATGTCTAGAGGATGTGAACACTGAAGAAACAAGTCTGGAGTTGGGTGAGCAGTGGGCACATGAATGTTCCCCAGAGAGTGAAAGCCTGCTCAGCTCAAAAGTTGTCACAGCCTATCTAGGTGGGGAGATTATAGAACAGTGGTTTAGGTATATGTCAGAAGGCATCATGGGAGGTTGAAGAACTGGAAGCAGCGTTCCTAATTCAAGGTGACTCAGAATGACCAGATCTCAGTCACGTGATCACACCTGCTGCTAAGGTTGCTAGGAAGTGTTTTATGCTGGGAAGGAGTTTTTTAAATCAACCAACTGTGAGTGGAACTCACCACATTTTTCCATATGGATGTGAAATGAGTCAGACTTAGTCTTAAATGTCTCATGCATAACTTCATCCACCCCCTCCCATGAAGCTATTCTATTGGTACAATTATTTTCTATGTCTTTTAGTAAAAGAAAACCTTACCCTCATCAGGATACTGTTGGTTGCTATAAACCTCAGTTAGCAAGTAGTGGATTGAGATTTGGCTGGTGCCCTCAAACCCCGAGGACTTCCTATGTGCTATGATATAAATGCTGAACTGAAGATATGCTTTATGGGCTTCCCAGACCACTACACAGCCTTGATGCAGGAAGGAGGGGCCTGGACCTGCCTCAACTGAATATACCAGGCTCTGCTGACTCCCCATGGGAGACCTTGCCTTGGGAGGGTGGGTTAAGGGGGAAGGCTAGGGGGTGGGAGGAGGGAGGAGAGGGGAATCTGGTTGGTATGTAAAATGAATAGAAAAATCTCTTAATAAAAAAAATAATAAGTGAGCTTGCCAGCTGCCTGAGAGTCCAAGGGGTAGTAGCAAAGATAGTTGTTGGGAGCAGTATCTGTTTCCAAGTGCCATTCCTTTATCTGGAGCTTATCCTTCACTGCCCCTTATCATGGCTTGCCATGAAGAAATGGTTGCACTGGGCATACTGCCCAACAGCTTGCCTGCAAGTTCCCTGCTACCTTGGCAACAGAATCAAAGCAACAGCTCAGGTTGCTGCCAGGAACACCCAGTTTGTGACAAGTTAGGGGTGTGTGGTGACTGTTCTCAGGCCAATTTTCTCCCAAGGAAGATAGCAGAGGTTATGCCCTCCTTCCACCAGAGTTAGAAGCTCCCTGACGACAGAAGGAGCTTTACTTTTGCATTCAGAAGCTGAAAGAAGACTGTAGAAGACAGGAAAACAGGAACGGGCTAGCTAGTAAACGCTGACCTCATTTGGGTCCAGGGAAGCAAGGAGATTAGGAACCAACAGGATGCTGTGGAAACGGGGTCCCTGGAGGATGACGAGTTAGTAGACGTTCAGGTTTGTGCTTACTGACATGAGTGAGGGTGGCCCATTGTCTGGTTTTGTTTTGTTTAGTTGGGCTTGCTATGTAGCCCAGGCTGGCTTCTTAACTTATAACCCTTCTGCTTACTTAGTGCTGGGATGACAGGAATGCACCACTATACTCTGCCATTATCTGGCTTTTAGAAAGTTGCTGGGTCAACACTGGTTTAAGTTGGGAATGCTTTTAAAGCATTTCTTTGAGAACGATAATTCAATGTTCTGGCCTGAGTCTAGTCTCACTCCCCCTCCCCCTGCCCCACCATGGAGAGCAGAACCTATTTTTACTATATTCATTTATTTGTATGCATGCCATAGCATCCATGGGGAAGTCAGAGGACAACTTGGGGGAGTTCTCTCTTTCTACCATTTGGGTCCCAGGGGATGAACCCAGGTCATTAGACTTGGCAACAAGTACCTTTATCAACAGAGCCATCTTGCTGGCCCTTTATTTAATTGGTATATATTCGTTGAACACAGTCCTGAAAACTCATAAAAACATTTTCATACTATTATATGATGTACTTTGACTTTGTTCTTCTTACCCCGCCCTGCCATCCCCCCTCTTTTCCTTATCCCTCCCCTATATAAAAATCTAAGGACCACAAATGTGATACTGCCTTTATGAGCCTGAGAGTTTATCTCGTAATCTGGAGTTTTAGCCATTTCCCTGCAATTGTCATACTCTTTATGGCTGAGTGAAATTTCTTTGTGCACATGGACCACGTTTTTTGTATCTGTTCCTCTGTTGATGGACACCTAGGCTTGTTCCATAACTTAGCTGTTATGACTAGTGCCACAGTGGACACTCTGTGTCTGTGGAGCCCTTCGGTAAAGTTCCTAGGAGTGTCATAGCTGGGTCTTAGGGTAGAACTGTCTTTATTGTTTATTTTTTTATTTTTTTGAATTTCCTCAAATTCCACACTGATTTATTTTAAATGGACAAATTTACATTCCTATTAACCTTGATAACGTTCCCTTTGGTTTGACTCCTCATCATTAACTTGTTTCTTTAATGACTGCTGTTTTGATTGGAGTGAGGTAGATTCAATGTAGTTTTAATTTGTGTTTTTCCAATAGCAAGTGATGAACTTTTTTTTTTTTAAATTACTTGGTTATTTATACTTAATCTTTTGAAAACTGTTCATATCATTTGCCCATTTTATTGATTGGGTTTGATGTCTTGGTGTTTGTTCTTTGAGTTCTTTACATATTTTAGATGCTCTCTTCAATCTGAAGTGCAGTTAGCAAAGATTTCCTCTAATTCTTCAGGCTATCTTTTCACTCAACTCTTTCTTTGCTATGCACAGCATTAAAAGTTTACAATCCCGTTTTTCAATTCTTGGCATTATTTTCTGAGTATCTGGAATAATTCTTAGAATGTCCTTGCCTATTCCCTGTACCTTGAAATGATTACCCTAATTTTCCCCTCTAACATGAGTTTCAGGTCTTATGATTGTTGGGTAATAGCCTCAGGTTATGAGGAATTGAATCAGGGTGTATTAGACAATAGCCCCAAGCGACAAAGAATTGCTTAGCCCAAGCCTGACCATTCAGCTCCATCTGCAGAAATAATAAGTCTGCATATTGAAAACAACTCACCCTGTTCCCAGTCAAACTACAAAAAGAGCTATGGGCATCTATATATATCTACATGTCCCCCAGCTCCTGTGAAGGCAATCAACCTTCATCCTTAGGAAAAGCTGGGGCCTCTTGCTGTTCCAGTAAGGCTGTCTTGCCTGTTGAGATGGAGTCTATCTCTTCTCTGCCTCATTTTCCTTACAAAGACGTCTGATCCATTTGGAACATACCTTTGTAGAAGGTGAGAGGTAGGGATCTAGCTTCATTATTTTGTGTGTGGATTCACAGTTATTCTAGCACTGTTGAAGAGCCCATTTCTCTATATTTTTGGCATCTTTGTCAAAAATCAGGTGTCTGCAACTGCAGGGGTTCTGTGCTGGTTCCATCTTTTGTTTGCTACAATGGGTGAGCAGGAATTCTTGACTTTCACGAAACATGGCTTGGCTGTTTGCCTGTGGAGGGTTTGGGTGAATCTTGTGACCTCACTGAAACTCTGGTTTTCTTACATATGAGTCGATAATTGTGCCTGCAGTAGATGTGAGTATGAAATTTCAGTTGGGTGAATGATGTACAGTGTTGATCATGTGGAGTAGGTGGCAATATGCTATATTGACAAGTCACTCCCTTTGATTCTTTTCTTTCTCTGTAAATGGGGACAAAACACCATATTTTGTGGTTATAAAAGTCGCCACAAAGGGTCATGAGAATTAGATGAATAAATACAAAAATGTACGTAAGGCGAGGAGATGGACAGGGTGACACAATGGTGACCCAGACTGTAGTGGGATAGCAGTCAGGAGCAGGACAATGAACGTGTCTGGGAATTCCTGTTCAGGATTTTCTTTAAATTGTCAAAATCTGAGACTCCATTAGAAAAAAAAAAAAGTTTTTTTTTTTTTTTTGTGCTGACATGTAGCCTCAAGGTTTTCATTGCAAAGAAGCCGAGGAGGAGGGCCCTTTCTATATTCACTGCTTTCGAACAATGCCCCATACTTGGAATAGGTTTTGTTGGCAGCAGTGGAACATGATGGGAAGGAGGGGGCTAGAAATAGGAATCACTGCCTCTAGCTCCTGGACACCATTAAAACCTATGAAATGAGTTCTACTTTGTATCTTGAATAATTAGTTTGTAATAGGACTTACAGCATTTGTGAATAGTCTTAGCAAAGACCATGGGAAAAACATCACAAAGAAATTGGCTTAAAGAAATCATATAAATAGCAGGAGAAACACACCATTAATCATTTGAATGGAAATTCCAGGTTTCATAGCTATAGAAAGTGATAAATATTTCCAATGATTTAGTAGAAAGGTGTGGCAAACTAATGTAAAGCTAGAGACATACTTCTTGGGATTGACAAGGGAGGAATTAGCCCCATTCTATCATTGATGCAGGGTGGGAATCCCATTGTCCTGACGTCTTGAGTTTACCTGGAGAAAACAGAGTGTCAGTGCTAATGAGACCGAGGGAGAACCCAAATCAAGCCCCTTGCTTCACTTGTGTTGTTCCTTACATGTAATGGACTATACAGAAAGCTGGTTTTGGAGGTCAGTGTGCGTCAGTCTCAGATCTTGGCCATGTAACACTGCTGAGCATATTTCCTAAGAAATCCTGACCCCGCCCTTGACCAGCAGCTCTGGTTAATCATTTGAGGAGTGCTTGGTCAAAACTATCAATGCAGACTGGCATTTCTGGGATGCCTTTGATCTCTTTCCTCCCTTTCATGGTGGATGGTGCCAAAATAAGAGTAACTGGCAGCTGTCAGGCCCATTTAGGCTTTGTGACTGTGCCAAATCAGTAGATGACCAGACACCAAGTTTTCCCACACTCTATTCTGGACCACTGGACATGCGTCTAGAGTTCTACAGTCCTCCATATTTCCTAACCTAAGCTCTTGTACTTTCCCTTGCCTAAGGATAAAAGGACTTTAAAACCCCTAATGGATTTCGTGTATGTTCTCCCACACACACCCTCTGTGTGTGTGTGTGTGTGTGTGTGTGTGTGTGTGTGTGTGTGTGTGTGTGTGTGTATGTGTGTTATCATAGGTACTGGGCTGAAGCCTGATCACTTTGGCCTTCAGGGACAGTTTATGTTTTTAAAAATTAGTTTTTAAAATTGGCATTCAAAGCAGTGTGTTTCATTGTGACATTTCTATACAAAATTTTTGTTGCTCTCCTCCCCTCCACTCCCCCCTTCCTCTACCTGCTCCTGCTGGTCTCCTTCCTCCTCTCTGACTGCCCCCTCTTCCTGATTCCACAGTCCTCATGATGGAAGCTTGAAATCACCTGTGGTGCGACTGTTGACGCCATGGGAATTGCCAGGTGCTGCAATTGTTGACTGTTGACATCTTGCCATTGCCAGGTGTCTGTGTTATCAGACTGGGGGTCATAATCTACCCCAGGAGGTCAAGTTAGGTAACATCTTCCTGCTACAGAATGACAGTTGTTAAATGTGTACTAGCACACCACCAGACACACAATATGTACATATATGATATATATGTGTATATATGTAAATGAATAGTGTATGTGTTTTGTGTTTATATGTTTGCATATATGTATATATATCACTATAAATACAGATATAAGTGTATTCCTGTAAATATGTAGTGATATATATTCTATGAGGCTGTGTATGGATGTTATATACCTGTAAATGTATAGTATATCTATGTATGTACATTTAGTATATATGTAAGTATATAGTGTAGATGTGGTATATGTCCATATAATATAGATGTAAATATGCAGGAGTGTATATATCATTGTATATGTGTGTGTATAAATGTGTATATGGTATGTATATGTGTAGAGTATATGTAAATAATATGTATAGTTTACATTTATAGTATGTATACATGTGTAGTATGTATGTGTGTATATATGTAGTGTGTGTGGTAAATGTGTATAGTGTATACATGTGCATATAGTGCGTATAGGTAATGTGTATTTGCATATAGTGTGTATGTATAGTGTGTATGTATATTATAGTGTTATACATTTGCTATTTGTTAATTTCCATGTTAATTCTGGAAGGACATGAGAAAAGCAGTGATACATTTCCTGAAGGGAGAGAAAATGTAGGTTCTTAAGAATAAGAGAGAGACTGGGCAGTGGTGGCGCACGCCTTTAATCCCATCACTTGGAAGGCAGAGTTTGAGGCCAGCTTGGTCTGGTCTACAGAGTGTAGTTCTAGAACAGCTAGGACTACACAGGGAAACCCTGCCTTAAAAAAACAAAACAAAACAAAACCAAAAACCAAGTAAGCAGAGAATAGAAGGGAGATTTCACAACAATCCATTTTCCATGTTTGACTTTTACTATCACCTAGTAATAACTGATAAGTAATAACTAGTAATAACTGATAAGATTAATGATTTACGTGTAGGTGTTGCTTACTGTATGCAAGGTAGGTTGTAAATGATTGTACTCTTATCTTATGTAAACACACCATAAGACAGATGACATTGTCTGCAATTTACAGATGATAACCTCAAGACTTTGAGAAATTAATATGAAGTAACATCCTCATTCTATAGGCAATGATCTTGAGACCCTGGCAAGTTAAGTAACCTTTTTTTGCTGAATTAATGGAGTAATGTCCTTATCTACAGGCAGTGGCCCTCTGACCCTGGCGAGTTAAGTAGCCATTTTCTGCAGAAATTAACAGGGAGTAACATTGTTCTGCAATTACAAGTCACCTATGTAGTTGCTGTGTTTGGCCAACAATAAGGAGGAGAGAGGAAGAGAAATAAAACAGAAGAGTAAGTGAACAGGAGAGATTGGAGCAATGGGGTGGGGGCCATTCTTAGCGTGCTCCTGTCTCCTAGGACAGGCTCCACATTGTCATTTGAATGTCATAGTCATTTGCCTACTGTCAAGATGAGGGATCTGAACTCAAAGACTGTATCTCTCATAGCTGTGACAGAAGCAACTTAAGAAGGAGAGGATTTCTTTGGCCCATTGTTTAAGGATATGAACCCACCATGGTAGGGAAGGCATGATGCTGTGACCTCATCATAGGAGGCTGGAATTCACTGTGCAGCTTGTTAATCTTCCCGATAAGCACAGAGCTAGACCAGAAGGGATGCTGGCCTGCAGTGTGGAAGACCCACCATGGTGGTCCTACATCCTCCAGCTAGGTCCCATGTCCTATAAGTTCCACACACTCTTAAAACAGTGGCATCAACTGGGAACCAAATATTGAAAAACAGGAGCCTGTGGTGACATTTCGCCTGGAAACCGTAAGAGGCAGGGACTTGTGGTTTGTCACTGGGTCGCTGGAGCCAGCATTTGGTCTCAGGTCTGTATTTTTCTCGGGGTTCTGTTGAATACAGAACAGAGATGGGAGACAGAAGGAAGAAAGGAGGAACAGGGCAGATGCTGAGAGAGCTACCAAGAGAAAGGCTGTGAGGAGCAAGGCATTACGAAGGCCAGAAGGGGAAGAACGGAGAGAGACGGGGAAGGAGAGAGAGCACAAGAGAGTGAGATGGAATGAGTGATGTTTAATGGTGGGGGCGTCAACAGAGAGGAGCAGAGGAGAGGGCAGAAGGGTCGAGTCAGACACAGTCTCACAGAGTCCGTGTGGCCCTGAGCTGGGACCTGTCCGAGCCTGGTGTGCTCAACAACGGGTATGCAGTGGGTACCGTGACACCCTCTCCCAGAATGTTGCCAAGAGATCAGGAGTAAGTGGGAGGGCCTGGTGAGCAGGCCCTTCCTCCTCTGTAGCTGACACTAAAAACAAAAACTAACACAGACGGGAAGGAGATTTGTAAGGAATGAAGGGAGAAGGCATGGGTGGGAAGGAAATGAAAGAATGGGGAAGGGGGATCCAGAACACATTATATGCACGTATGGAGTGGTCAAAAAACAGAACTTATTTTTTAAAACCTCTTTGTTGTTTGGGAATTTTGTACAGTGTGTTTTGACCATATTCACCCTTTCCCCAACTCCTCCCAGATTCATCCTCCCTTCCCTATCCACCCAACTTTGTGTCCTCTTTAATTTTCACCCACACGTCAAGTCCCATTTGTGTTGCTCATGTGTTCATGGACTTGTAGCCTTCCACTGGAGCATGGTCAGCCTATCAGGGACTTTTTTAAAAATGAGAATTTAATGTAAATAATGTATTTACATCATTTCCTCCTCTCCATCTTCTCTCTCTAATTCTTGCTGCATCTCTCTGTGAAGTGGTTGACCTCTTTTTTAATAATTATTGTCACATAAATCACAAACACACACACACACACACACACACACACACCATTTAATGTTGCTTGTATATACATGTGCTTAGGGCTGACAACTTGGAGTTTGATAACCTATTTGGTGCATCCTTTGAGAAGACTGCTTCTCTCTCTCAGCAGCCGTTAATATTGCCTATAGCACTTCATCAAGGGATGGGGCCATGTGAGATTTCCCCCATCCATATTTACATGTTAACTAGAGTTTTCATTATGCAAGCCTTGTTTGGACAACCATTTCATCGAGAGTTCATGGGTGCAGTTTCCCTGTCATGTCTAAAAGAACAAAGCTTATTAATAGAAAGTGTAATCTCAGTTTTGCTGGCAACTATAACAAAAATAACGTATTTCCACCTTAAGTTTATAAGTTTTTATTGTCCCAGAAAAGCTGGGTGGGGGAATTGAAAGCTTTAATAAAACTCGAATACAAATCCAATAATGTTTTGATAAACCAGAGAAGTCAGGGGTAGAAGTGGGAGAACCTGTATGTTCTTTGAGGCAATTGAATATAAAAACTTCATTTAAAAAAAACGTAGTTCAAGCATGAGTGCTTATGCTTCTACTTGTTTTTAATATTTGACTTTAATCCCAGGAACAAGATTTCCAGGTAGGTCCCTTTTGATAGTTTCCAGGTAGTCGTTTACCACACCCATAGGGTGCCAGCTTGCAACATAGATAAAAACTAGAAAGCACTCCTCTCCCTCCACAGGCTGGGTTTCCTTTAAATGCACCACCCAGGCATTTCTCTGATAACTTGAAGTAACCCACGACCTAGTCCCCCAGTATATATTGCTGGTTGCCACTCTTTCCCATCTATCTTTCCTCTATGCTGGAGGCTTGTGGAGTCTTCCTGGGGTCTGTAAGTACCAAAACCTTTTTACCAAACTTCCTCTTGTATGTGTTTGTGTCATTGAAGCTGTTTGTACTCTGACACACTGACAGTGAGGCAGCTGGGTCCTTGCTGGGGACAACAGCTACCAGCTAAGTTGCTGGAAAAATTCAGGTAATGCAGGGATGGAACAAGGTCAATAGAATAAAGGCAACCCCAGGACAGTGAAAGAAAAAAGAAATTCTTGTGTTGGACTTGTGAATCATATCACCACTGATAATCACTGGCAATAGCAGCTCTCAACTGGTAGTTTCCTTCCCCGGAGCTAATATTGTCTGATGGAATTTAGCTCTTTTCATGAGTTCATCCCACAGGATGAAGGAGTCTGGTAGATGACCCTGTATGGGGTAGCTGGAGAGGTACAGGTGTCAGGCCTCTCAGCCCGTCTTCTAGCAACCTCTACAAGGACTTGAAACATCTAAGCCCTTTCAGAAGTGAGGAATTTCTAGATTGGGGTAGGACAAGGAGTCACCGCTAGCCCTAGGACTCAATGCCCTTCAATAGTGGAGTTGTAGTCACATGGAGCCTCTTCCCCAGCGTCCACCAGGGAGTCTGATCTTTTAAGTCTCCAAGTCAAGGGTGGAGTGTAGGGGCAGGAGAAACGTGGACTATTCTCCAGGAAGGTAGTGTGTTCACAATATGTCTTTGTCCTTCAGCTTAGCCTCATCCTATCAGCAGTCATATCAATAACCTCAATTTGAATGAACCACTGCCCTCCTGGGCTGAGGAGCCAATGGCTGAAGAGACAAAAACATCTGGTTCAAAGCCAGAAAACCGTCTAAAAGGCTTTCAACAAACTTGCCACAAGGTCCTAATTACTCTTTTCTGTGCCCCACCTCAATTTTTTTAAAATGGCTATTTGAATTCAATCCATGACATGACATTGATCCGATAATCACTACAAAGCAAGGCTGGACTGGTAGACTGAGCTGCCTGCCTTAAGGAATATCCATCCAAGTTCATTTCCACAGAAACCACAGCTGGACCCAATGCTGACCTCAGAACTCCATCAACTCACCACAAAGTAGGGCGTGACTGTGCCACAGGAAAAAAGCGACATTGAAAGTAGTTGAAGAATTTGGGAAGATGAACCCTGAAGAGTCTTCCAAACCACAGCCATCCAATACACATATGCGGTGAGTCGCAGGTGTAATTTAACTTTTAATGTTTTTATCACTTCCATTTTGTGTGTGTGTGTGTGTGTGTGTGTGTGTGTGTGTGTGTGTGTGTGTGTGTATAAGGGTGTGCATGTGCCATTGTATATATGTGGAAGTCAAAAGACAACCTATGGGAATAATTTCCTTCTACCATGTGGGTCCCAGGAATCAAACTCAGATCATCAGACTTGGAGGCAAATGCTATCATATTGATCCCCACAAACAGGTGAAGTTTAGCTTCTTAACTACTTAATTTTTTATTAGGGTAAAACATGTTAATATAAATTTACCGTCTTGACCATTTGAAAGTAAACAAATTCAGTAGCAATTATTACATTTTCAGGGAAGTTCAAGTACCACCTCTGTCTAATTTCAGAATATTTTTAGCACCCCAAAGGGAAACTCTCCACCCAATAATCATCTCTTCCATTTCTCCCCCTCTCCAGCCCCAGGGGAGCTACTGACCTGCTTCCTGTAACTATGTGTTAGATCCTATTCTCAATGTCTTACTTAGGGTGGTTATATATGATATGACCTTGTGTCTGTCTCTGTCACTTAGAATTTCCTTTGAAAGGGCCATCTACAATGTAGTATGTACAGGAAACTTTCCATTACTGAGTGATAAACCATCACTCAATTAGATCATGTTTTGTTTGTGTGTTCATCGCTTGATGGACAACGGGGTTTGTTTGCCTGTTGGTTATTGTGAACAACATGTGTAGGTTAATGTACAAGGTTTTGTTTGAATACCTGCTTTAAATGCTTTGGATTATATACTTAGGAGTGAAATTTCTGGGACATATAGCAATTCTGTTTGTTGGCTGCGTATGTGTGTGTGTGTGTGTACCTCAGAGGTTGACATCAAATATCTTTCTCAATTGATTGTCACCTTATTTTTTGAGATAGAGTCTCATGCTGAACTTGCTGTTCATGGATTTAGGTAGATGAGATGGCCAGCAAGTTCCTGGGTTTGTCTTAGCCTCCCCTCCCCAGAGTTGGGGTTATAGGTGCACATTGCTGTACCTGGCTTTGTTACCTGGATGCTAGAGATTGAACTCAAATCTTGCTTCCCCAGAAAGCATTTTACTGAATAAGTCATGTCCCTACCTTTCTCTTTTGCCTTCTTGAGATCAAGCATCACAGTGAAGCCCAGGGTGGCCTTGATCCTCAGTCAACATCCTCTTATCTCAATTTTCTAAGTGCTGGGATTACAGGCATAAGCCACCATGCCAGCTTCTGTTAAATATTTTTGAGAACCACTGAACTGTTTTCTGCCATGCTGTTAAGAGCATAAATGCAGCCACTCTTTAGTATCTGTGGAGAATTGATCCCAGACCAGCACTAGACCTCCTGCACACACCTATATCCCTAGGTGCTCTGGTCTCTTGTGTAAGACATCATGGTATCTTCAGAGACCTACACATCCTCTTGGCCTTTTTAAGTCACTTTCAGTACCCAGTAAGTGCCAGTTCTGTGGGAGCAGGTGCTCCACTGTCTTGTTCAGTGGTTAGTGGCCAGAAAATGTCTTTGCCTCTTTAGTGGAGCTGTAAGTTCCTCAGAGGGTCACTGAATTTGCATAAGCAGACCCTGAAAATATTGAGGACCACCAGGTGTTTGTAGTCATTATATCCTGAATTTTGAGCATGTCATGACAGAATTTATTGATGAGCTATTGTGTGCCCTTTGAAATTTTTGTAAGGTTTGTTTTTATGTGTATGTTTGGATGCCTGAAGAGGGTGTTGGATCCTCTGGAGCTGGAGTTATAAGCAGTTGTGAGCTGCCTGATATAGGAGCTAGGGACTGAATATGGGCCCTCTGGAAGAGCAACAAACATTCTTTTTTTTTTCTTTTTAAATTCTTCTCTCATATAATATATCCCAACTACAGTTTTCCCTCCCTCCACTCCTCCCAGTACCCCTACTCCCTATCTCCCCTCTCCCCAGATACACTCCTCCTCAGTTTCCTTTTAAAAAAGAGTAGACCTCCCAGGGATAGCAACTGAATACAGCATAATAAGATACAATAAGATTAGACACAAACCCTCATATCAAGGCTGGATGAGGCAACCCAGGAGAAGGAAAAGGGTCTCAAGAGCAGGCAAAAGAGTCAGAGACACCCCCACTTTCACTGTTAGGAGTCCCACAAAAACCCCAAGCTAAACATATATGCATATATGCAAAGGGCCTAGTGCAAACCCATGTTCTGTGATTGCTGCCTCAGTTTCTGTGAGGCATAAACATACAAACCCTGCTTAGTCAGTTCTGTGGGCTATATTCTTCTGGTATCTTCAACCTCTCTGGCTCCTACAATCCCTCATCTCTATTGAGGTTCCCTGAGCTCTACCTAATGTTTGGCTGTGAATTTTTGCATCTGTTCCCATCAGCTTCAGGAGGAAATATCTCTGATGATGACTGGGCTAGGCACCAATCTATGAGTATAGCAGAATATCAGAATATCATTAGGAATAATTTCATTGACTTTTTTTTCCCCGCCAGATGTGTTTAGTTCTAAGTTCTATCCTAGGTCTCTGGACTGTTCAGCCTCTGGTTTCTGGCCATCCAGACAGTGTCAGCCATGGTCTCCCTCTCATGGCTTGGGCCTCAAGTTAGACCAGTTATTTGTCGGCACTCTCATAAGTTTTGAGCCACCCTTACCCAGCACATCTTGTGGGCACGACAGGTTGTAGGTTGAAGGGTTTGTGGCTGGGTTGCTGTTCCACCACTGGAAGCCTTGCCTGATTATAGAAGACGACCAGTTCAGACTCCGTATCTTTCATCACCAGGAGTCCTCACTGGTGTCACCCTTGTAGATTCTAGGAAGTTTCCACGGCACTAGGTTTCCAAACTGCCCCCAAATGTCTCCCAATTCGAATAGTCTCTCCTATATTCTCTCCCTTTGTCCATCCCTCTCCAACCTGATTCCCCCGTTCCCATCCCCACCTGCTCCCAGCCCACCCACAAAATCTGTTCTATTTCTCCTTCCCAGGGAGATCCATGCATCCTCACTAGAGCCCTCCTTTTTTACTTAGCTCTCTGGGTCTGTGGATTATAGTGTGAATATCCTTAACAGCTAATATGTACTTATAAGTGAGTATATTTCATGTTTATTTCTGTGTCTATGTTACTTCACTCAGGATGATTTTTTTTCTACTTCTATCCATTTGTCTTCAGATTTCATGATGTCGTTTTTTTTTTTTTTTAAACGGCCAAGTAATACTCCATTATGTAAATGGACCACATTTTCTTTATCCATTCTTCGGTTGAGGGACATCTAGGTTGTTTCCAGTTCCTGGCTGTTGGCATCAAGCATTCTTAATTGCTGAGCCATGCGTGTCTCTAGCCCTCTTAAAACAATTACATTTAATTCATTAATGTGTTTATTTGTATGTATGTGTGAGAATGCATGCATGCATGTATGCTTGCGCACATTGTACCACGGCACATGTGTAGGTCAGGAGACAAGTTCTCTCCCTTTACTGTGTGGTTCAGCTAGCTCATCAGACTTGTTGGCAAGCACTTTTTACCTGCAGAACCATCTTGGCTGGCCCTTGGCTGCTCTTTAGTTTACGTTTTCAGTAGCTGATATACACCTTCAACTTAGAGCCCTTGACCACATTTGCTCCTGAGCAACCTGCAGCTGGTAGATGGCTCTTTGGAGGACAGAATTCTAGCTAATTTCTGTGTTTAGTTACTGCGCAATCCCTGATGTTTCCTGTTTTTTCTTTGTCCTGGGAAGCTCTGGGGTTTACTTTGCCACTGGACTCCAGGAAGAAGAGAAGGCAGCTGTGAACAAACGTAGCCCCAAGGTGTTGGAGGCTCTGCAAAAGCTGAACATCCAGGCTGAGCAGGTAAGTGGGAGTGAGGTGCCATACTGGTAGGATTACCTCTGCTGGCCCTAGGCTTTGCAGCTCAACTTGTCCAGGATGAGCAGGAAGAGCATAGGAATGAACTTACTCTGGTAGAGCAGTGACATGGGGCAGCTGTCACCTTACTTTGGATACCCTCCTGTTCCTTACATTGTCCACTGGTTCTAATTGTCCTTCCTCTAATGTCCAGGCTCCAGTCATTGCTGTCCTAGGTTCTGGTGGGGGGCTGCGGGCCCACATCGCTTGTCTTGGGGTACTGAGTGAAATGAAAGAACTTGGCCTGTTGGATGCTGTCACATACCTCGCAGGGGTCTCCGGGTCCACTTGGTAAGTGTTATGTGTGGGTATGGAAGGGTGCGCCATGTTTTCTAATATCAGAATGAGAGCATCTTCCTCCAGACACCAAATGCATGCTGCTGTCTTTTATTTTCCATTTCTTAAATGGACAGATAACAATTGCGTATTTTATGTTGTATGGCGTGATATTTCAGCATATGGATTTGTTGTGCACTGATGTATTTTCACTTTTCTTGGTGTAACGAAATACCTGACAAAAAGCAACTTAACAAAGGAAAGATTTCCTTGGGTTCTCAGCTTGAGAGCAGTGTCTGTCATGGCATTAAGGGCACTTTGCGAAGCAGAGAGGGAGGTGTGATGATGATCAGCTCAGCTTCCTTTTGTTCCGCCTGGGTCCAGCCTGGGGAATGGTGTGATCACATTCAGGGTATCTTCTCATGTCATTTAAATGTCTCGATAAACACCTTCACAGGCTCACCCACAGATTTACCGCTGCATGTGAGGGTGTTGGGTTGTGCATGTTCCTGTGGAGGCCTGTAGTGGCCAGGGCAAGGCAGATATCAAGTGTCCTCCTTGTTGGTCTTTACCTTATTGCCCTGAGACATGGCCTCTTACTGAGCCTAAAGCTCACAGTTTTGGCTAGGCTGGCTGTAGGATCCATCTGTCTCTGCTCTCCAGTGCTAGAGGTGCAGGCATGTTCATCCATGCCTACCTTTTAAAATTATTAATTAGATTTATTAATTTATTTTACATCCTGACTGCAGTTTCTCCTCCCTCCTCTCCTCCCATTCTCCCCACCCCCACGTCCAATCCAATCTTCTGTTTCTGTTCAGAAAGAGGCAGGCTTCCTATGGGTGTCCTCAAAGCTCGGCATATCAAGTTGAGGTAGGACTGAGCTCCTTCCCTTTTATTAAGACTGGGCAAGGCAATTCCGTATGAAGAATAGGTTCCTGGAAGCCAGCCAAGGACTTATGGGCAGACCCTGCTCCCGCCAGAAGAACTACTACTACTTCCTGTTCTACAAGTAGATCAAGCTACACAAGTGTCACACCTATGTAGAGGGCCTAGGTTGGCCCCATGCAGGCTCCCTAGCTGTTGGTCCAGAGTCTGTGAGCTCCTATGAGCCCAGGTTAGTTGTTTCTGTGGGTTCTTTTGTGATGACCTTGACCCCCCTGGCTTGTCCAATCCTTCCTTTTCTCCTTCTCTTCAACAGGATTCCCGAGCTCATCCCAGTGCTTGGCTATAGATGAAGGCTCTCTGGTGACAATTGGGGTAGTTACCAATCCGATTACAGGAGATGCCATGCCTGCTTTTTACATGAGTATTATGGATTCAGACTCAGGTCCCCATGCTTGCATAGCAAGCACTCTTACTTACTCAGCCATTTCCCCAGGCCCAAAGTTCTCTTTGAAATAGTCTATCAGTTGTACAACAGAAGGGGCTTTGCTACGTTTCTGTAATGCATATAGTATACTTCGATCATATTGACCTCTCTATTACTCCAAATTTGCCCACCCACTTTTTACCTTCTGCTGCCCCTTTTCTAGCAGTTTCAAGTTCAAGGGCAGTGTTTACACTTTAGGTGGGCAAAATATAACCCCTTATGATCTTTTAGTTTTTATGAGAGATTATTGTGTTAAATCTATGTAGACTTTCTTATTCCAAAGGGCTCAGAAGCCCTCATGCCTGACAACCTGATTCCAAGCCCAGGGCAGACATGGTTATTCAGTGTTGGTACCTTTTCAGTAACAGATAAAGCTTCACAAGCTTTTGAACTTAATGGCGTGGAGAATGAATGATAGGTGGAGGCAACAGATGGCAGAAATGTAGCACTTAGTGGTGGGGCAGCTCCTTTAGAGACACACTTGTTGGATTAGTTATTTTTCTCATTGCTGTGGTGAATACTCAGCAAAAGTAATTTAAGGAAGAAAGAGTTTATTTGGCTCAATTTGAGGGAATATGATCCATCATATGGTGGGGGAAGACATGGCAACAGGATCTTGAGGCAGCTGGTCACATTATATCTTCATTGTAGAAGCAGAAAGAGGGGCTAGAGAGATGGCATTCTCAAAGCTTAAGCATGGTGTTGTTGCCTGTAGGGGAATAGGAGGTGGGCCTTGCAGCCCAACAGTGTTGACACAACTCCTACAGTGAGTCATTCAGGGCTGGTCTAAGCCCAGCTGTCACGTCTGTGTGCCTCCATCTCTTGGACTGTTAGGAAGATTACAGTTCTAATCTTACTGGGTTGCTGTGACAGGGAAAGCATCCAGATGGAGCTAACTAATAGAAATATAACTTGAGTCATGTCTGTCCCTTCTGATTTTCTAAAAGCCCCATTAAAAAGTAAAAGGATACAGTGACATTAATTGTAATGGTGCATTTCCTCTTTTAATAGTAGTTTTTTTTAGGTATTTAAAGATTATATATGTATATATATGTTTATATAGTGTATGTTAATCATATCCATTCCCTACTCCCCCAAGGCCCTCCCTAACACAGCTTCCTCCCAACTTCATATCCCCCCCATTTTTTTAAAATTATGATTCAGTCCATTTAGTATTACCATATGCACATCGGTGTGGGATCATCCTGTGGGATATAGGAGACTTACCAGTGGCCTCACCCAAAAGAAAAATGACTCTCCTTCATGAGTATTTATTTCATTATGTAATTAATCAGCAACTTGACATTCCTTTTGTCAGACCAAGTCTTTGCAAACCGATACACATTTTATTTTAAATATTTTCTATCATGTTTATTTATCGAGCACATGTGTGCCACCACATCTGTGTAGAGATCACAGAAGCTTATTTCTCATGTGTTTCAGCTTCCCACTAATGGAATGGAACGGCCGTGTTTAAATTGAAGTTAATAAAATGAAATGGAATGGAGAACCAATTTCTAATTATATTAATCACATGCTGTATTAATTACTTTTGATCATTGCTGTGTCAGAAATATCCAACAAACGGGGCTGGAGACATGGCTCAGTGGTTAAGGGCACTTGCTGCTCAGTCATGAGAACTGGAGTTTGGGTCCCAGCACCCACCTCAGGAGGCTCACAACACTCATCACTCTAGCTGCAAAGGATGACACTCTCCTGGCTTCTGTGGGCACCCTCACACACATGTGTACATACAGATGCATACACACGCACACACACACACACACACACACACACACACACACACACACACACACACACAGACACATTCAATAAAATAAATTAAAAAGGCACTTGACAAATGTGACTGGAGGAAATGAGGGTTCATTATGTCGCCATGGGCACTTGCATTTGTGTGTGCATGCATATTCCTGCAGATACACATACACAGAGAGACAAATTTTAAAAAATACTAACTGAACCGGCTGGTATCAAATTTCTTTATAGGAACTGGTAAGGAGTTCTCATTTGAAAACCTTTCCCCATCTAGGCATGTTCTCAGTTTGTTCATCTAAGATCAGATAAAGACAATAAAAAGCATGAAGATAGTAGGTTATCTGAAAATAAATCCAGTTCCCTTTCAATACCTGTGTGGTGCTGAGGAAGGCATTTAGCCTCTCTGTGCCTCTCTAAACTGAGAATGACCCTGTTGTTCCTTTTGATGGCTAATTCTGAAGGTGATTGTGCTGGTTGGTATCTTTGACAACTCAATGTGAACCAGAGTCACCTGGGAAGAGGCAACCTACTGAGGAATTTTCTCCATGGGTTGCCTTGTAGACATGTCTGTGAGGGCATTTTGTTAATGTTTGATGTGTGAGGGACCAGTCTGCTGCAGGCAGTGCCACCCATTTGGGAGGACTTGTTTGCACTGCGACCCTGCTGTGCCAAAAAAGTCATCTTGAATCAAGGACAGAGTCAGCGATTGGCCGACAGGGATTAGCCATAGAGTTATTGGAAGACTGAGGAAGTTGGAGGAGAGAGGGACAGAAAGAGAGAAGGAGAGACTGAGGGGGACTTCTGGGACTTTTGGACCAGGAAAAGGTGGAGAGCAGGGTCAGCTGATTGTCCTTCCACTACTACAATTTAGGTAAACGCTACAGCCACCCTTAAGCTGGTGGTCGTATAAGAAAGCAGGCTGAGAAAGACATGGAGATCCAGCCTTCCTCCATGGACTCTTCATCATTTCCTGCCGTGCTGGAGTTCTTGCTTTGACTTCCCTCAGTGATGGACTGTAATTTGGCCTGAAAGCCAAATAAACTCTTTCCTCTGAATGTTGGTTTGGGTCAGCATTTTATCACAGCAATAGAAACCAAATGAGAATAATGATTATCTGTCACATATGTTTTTCATCTGAAAAAAAAAAAAACCCTCTCTGCCCGTCATATGTAGGACACTGGGATTCAGTTCCAGAGGTGGGATTCAGGGCGACACTGAGATGGATCGTTGGGGTTAAAAACTTTATCAGAAGTTACTCTATTAGTTGCTTGTCTCTTGCTGTGATAAATATGATGACCAGAGTAACTATATAAGGAAGAGTTTATCTGGGCTTCTGGTTTCAAAGGGAGAGTCTGTGGTGGTGAGAGGCATAGCAGTAGGCAGCTAAAGCAGGAAGCCGAGAGATTACAGCTTCCATGGAAACAGAAAGCAGAGAGAGTGAACTGAAAATGGGGTGAAGCTGTGAACTCTCAAAGCTCACCTTCAGTGATGTACTTCACAGCAAGTGTCTACCCCTTGAAGGTTTCAAAACCTCCACAAACAGTGCCAGCCACTGGGGACCAAGTTCAAATACATGAATCTATGAAGGACATTCTCAGTCAGACCACCAGTTATTAATGCCATCCACACATAGGTAACAACAGAATTCAGGATCCAACAATGAGACGGTACAACATGGTGGGGACCCTGAAAAGGAGTCAGGACTCATATGATAGAGTCAGGTTCCTTCTTACAGGTCTCAGAGGGAGGTTTCAGCATGATCCTGCAGTCAGTCTCTCCGATTCCCCATCATGGAAGCAAGTGGGGGTGCAGGATGTCTGTCTGTCTGTACCCTCTAAAGTGTAAACCCACTTCCCCAGGTTAGAGATCCTTGTACTTGGAAAGGCATTAACTAGATCTTCACAGACCGTGCTCTTAGTAGGCACCTGACTGTGTCTGTATGATGGGCAGGGTAGCAGTCTGGTCTGGGGGCGAACATTAAATCATGATGGATTTCTTCTATCTTGCTCTCTTGTCCTATCCGTTAAATAGGAGAATCACAGAGAGGCCGTGTGAGTCCTTGTTTGCCATCCCGAATTTCCTCTATGAATAACCATTATTTCCCTGTTTTGTCACATGAGAGACACAGTCAGAGTTAATGGCACTCTTGGGTCACTGTTCTGATCCTCAGTCCTTTTCTTCTCTCTGCTCCCAGGGCATTGTCTTCATTCTACATCAACAGTGGGAATATGGAAGGGATGGAAGAGGAGCTGACACATCGATATGAGCAGAATAGGTGGCACTTTGGAGAGAGCCTGAAGAAAGCCGTACAGGCAGCAAGGAGGGAGAACTACTCCATGACTGATTTTTGGGCCTATTTTGTTGTTTCTAGGCAAACCAGAGAGGTAAGCCATTCCCAGCAGAGGATGTGGGGTCCCAAAAGGCTTGCCCAATATCCTCTTTCAGCTCTTCCAAATCTGGGCACTGGGAACGTTTACCTCAAGACTAAAAAGATGCCAGGGTTGATTGGTTGTGAGTGGAAGAGTCAGACTGTGACTCATTTGTGCAGTAGAGTAAGTAGAAGTTGTAGAAACATCTAGGACCATCCAAAGGCAAGAGGCTCCGAGGTACCTGTTCTTTTTTCATCTCTGTCCTTGTTCATTTCTTTTCCTGAATTTGCTTTTCTCTCTCCTTGTATTAATTTTTATTCTTCACCCCAGAAAGACTAGAGTTTTCTGTGTCTCCATGTTTTCAGTGGGAAAAGTTTTCCCCAGGCCCAGAGTCCCACAGAGGTCACCTCCAGACCCTCTAAGCAGCCGGCTCCAGGATCCAGCCCCAGGTTGTCTGAGCACACCTGGTCAGCTCTGTTCCGAGCAGATGGCTGCTGTCATCCAAATGCCTGTGACTGCCTGTGGGGTGAACTCATCATGGGTGCGTTCCTCATAGGAGAGTCAGGATGACAGTGGGAACTCAGCCCCAACTGAGTTCTTTCTTCAGTGGATTTCTTCGGTTTTTTTTTTGTTTGTTTGTTTGTTTGGTTGGTTGGTTGGGTTGAACATTGTCCCATTCTTAGAAACAAGAGGGAAAGACACAGCCTGAATTGTGAGACAGGACTAAAAAGAGAGAAAATGGAAGTTTTGAATGATGCTGTTAGAATTTCTATCAGACTGTGGGTTCTAGGGGAACAGGTGCTGTTCAGAACTGTCAGAGTAGAGCAGGAACCTACAGTGTATTTGGTTTTCTCCTCTTGTCATCCCCCTTCTCTTCCCTTTCTCACTCTCCTTTCTGTCCCTCCTTTCTCTCTGAGAGATTATTTTTAACTTTATTTGTATATGAGTGTTTGCCTGCATTTATGGATGTACATTGCGTTCATGAAGTGCACATGGAGACCAGAAGAGGGCACTGTATCCCTTGGAACTGGAGTTAACAGACAACTGTGAGCTGGAAACTGAACCCTGCTCCTCTGCAAGTTTTCTTAATCTCTGAGCCATCTTTCTAGCCCCCTCTCTGTCATCTCTCTTTCCCCTGCATCTCTCCCTCACCCTCCCTCTCACAGTTTAACTTACTGTTTTTTTTTTAAGATTTTTGAGGTATAACTGATATGCACACAGTTGAACATACATATATATTTCAAACACATTTTGATGAGTTTGGACACATGCACTTACCTGTGAACTATCTCATGATCAAAGTACTCAGCATTCATCCCCTATAGAAATTCCTTGTGTTCCTTCCCGAGTGTGCACGCGTGCGCGCCTGTGTGTGTGTGTGTGTGTATGTGTGTGTGTGTGTGTGTGTGTGTGTGTGTGTGTGTGTGTGTGTGTGTATGTGTATATGTTTTATTTGTGAGGTGGATGGTAATACTTTGCATGACAACTATCCCCTTCAGTAATGCTAAGTGGCACAAGCCAGTCACATGATTCCACTTCTCCGGGGCATCTAAGACAGTAAAACTCACAGACGTGAAGAACAGAGTGGTGGTGGTCAGCACCTGGAGGCAGAGGCAAATGAGAACTGTTGCTCGAAGGTGATGTAATTCTGCCAGATGAATAGGGACACGATCTCTGTCTTCACTCTTGGCCCGTGAGACTGTTTTCCTCTGCACTGGTCTCTCTGACTCTTATCCACTCTCATCCTTTGAGGGTACCCCACCTTACTCTGTAGATGAGCTCTGTCTATTGTCTACACTGAGAAGCATGAATAGTGGACTGTCGAGATAGCTGCGGTCAAGCCTGAAGACCTGAGTTTGATCCCTGGAACCCACATGGCAGAAGGAGAACTGACTCTTTCACGTTGTCCTCTGACTTCCACACATGTGGAAATGGGTTTCATAGATGAAGACGAAAGAAAGAATATTCCAGAACTAGGTGCACTATGTACTCAGATCCTATCGAGTTTGGGGAGACTAAACCATACCCTTGTGCTTTGATCCCATTCAATCTGGGTACTTTCCCTTCATAGCTGCAGGACTCCAGTTTGTCCAGCATAAAGAAAGAAGTGGAAGAAGGCCTGCTGCCTTACCCAATCTTTGCAGCCATCGATGGTGACCTTCAGCCTGACTGGAGGAAGAGAAAAACTCGGAGTAAGCAAAAAAAAAAAAAAAAAAAAGGAGGGCAGGGGAGGTAGTAAGGGAATGAAAGGCACTGAACAGGGCTGGGGATATAGCTCAGTGGTAGAGTGTTTGCTTTGAATTCATGGGGTCCTGGGTTCAGTTTCCCCAGAAAGGCTTTGAGTGGAATATGTGTGTGTTTCTGCAAAACTGGCTGTCAGGATAGAAGGGTATGCTCAGCTCACAGAGAGCAAACAGGAATCCCAGAAACCACCAGAGGGCCCACACTTGCGTTGAGTGACCAAAGAAGTTGAAATGTGGGTGAGGTGAGGGACCCGGGTTGGAGATACAGTGGCATGACTCTTTCCTGTCATCTTCTCCATGGTTCCAATAACCACCCCAATGCTGGAGGCTTTCCTAATGTTCTGTTTTTCTTTTGAGTCCCAGTCTTTGCTCTGGGATCAAGAACTCTTCACCCGATTTACTGCATATAAAATGCATTTATTTGTTTGATGAGTTTGCCCCTATTTCTCAGTACCTGCCAGGCCCTGTTCCAGGTGCTTGCTCACCCTAGCATCCTAAAGCTCAGAAGTCCCTGAGGTTAATGCTCTATTTCTTGAGTCCCAGTACGTGTCCTTGATCTTGTTTCATTTCTGTTGCTGTCACAAAAAAGCAGCCTAGGGAAGAGAGGGTTTATTTGACTTACAATTCCAGGTTATGGCCCAGGGAAGTCAAGTCAGGAACTCACATGTCACATCCACAGTCAAGAGCAGAAAGGAAGTATGCATGTGTATCATTATTTTCTTGCTTGCTCTGAGTTGTCTTTCTCTCCCTTTATACTGATTTTGCCTAGGGAATAGTGACAACCACAATAGGCTGGATTTTTCCCTCTCAATTGACAATCAAGGAAGGTTCCCATAGACTTTCCCATATGCCAACCCAATCTATTACCCATTATGACTCTTTTATGGGTATTCTGGCCCATGTCAGGTTGAAAGTTGAAATTAATCAGCATCGTCCTTGTATGGTTTTCCACTAGAGTGAGTAGAGCTGACCTCCTCCTTTATGTAGATCCTCCCCCAGCAGTCTAGAGGTAAGGTTAATTTGACTGTATCATCTGACACTCCATTGATTACCAAGGTTGATTTGACTGACATGGATATGGATATGATAAGGAACCCAGGAGGTTCCTTCCTCCCTAGCCACTCCATATGTGTCTTTTCTGAGCTATATACTGGTTTAGAGAGGTTGACCTTCCTTCATAGAGGAAGACAGTTATTCAGTCAAGAAGGTATGAATAGCTGCACTCTTCTCAAATATTCCCTAAAGACTAGTGAGACCTCTAGCCCACGCCTTCTCTAACTCAGCCCTCCACATTGCAACCACTATCTTCTCCACAACCGGAGCACATTATGGACTGAGTACCAGCATCTCTCTTGAGGACTCTTGTAATTACCTCCTCATTTGTCTTCCTGTACATGTCATCTCCTCCTCCCATAGCGACCTGATAGAAATTTCTAGGACAAACATAATCATGTGATTTTCCTTCTTACTATAAATAGTGCACTCAGTCCACAGTACCCCCAGATGACCCTCATCTCATAGTGTGTCTAGATTTTCATCATTCTCACATTCTGGAGTTGCATCTGTGATGAAGTAGAAGAGAAAGGTGGGTATGAGGCTCAAGCTTGGGGAAACAATGGAAAGAGGGTTTTTGAAAGAATGAATTGCTTCCATCTGAATCGGCTTTCAGAGGCATGGGGAAGAGATCCCCCAATATTTGAGATCAGCCAGCCCATCCCTATATGGTAGTCTCTTGGTTGGTATTCCTTACTCTATGGATGCCCTTCCCTCAGCACCTTGTTCCAGGCTCAGAGATTGCAGTTTACTCTTGTTTTGCCTCCCCAGAGTCCTGGTTTGAATTCACCCCTCACCATGCTGGCTACCCTGCACTGGGGGCTTTCGTTCCCGTCACACAGTTTGGAAGCAGATTTGAGAATGGAACACTGGTTAGATCTGAGCCTGAGAGAGACTTGACTTACCTGAGAGGTCAGTACTGGGATCAGATGGAATTCTGAGGAGGTGAGAAGTGGATGTTGGGCAAGAATAACCTCTCTGAATGTCTGGCTCTGCCAGGCTTCTTCATTGCTAGGAGAAAAGGAGAAGTCTTGGGGTTTCCAGAGGAAGGCCTTCAGCATCTCCAGGGACTCCCTTGCTTGACAGATATCTGGTAGCTTACTAAGTGGTCCAGGAGGCACCTGAATCTAAGGTTACAGCTTCTGATAAACAAATTTAGAATGCGAGTATGGGATTTATATGCAATCCCCAAAATAAAACACTCAGCACTGTACCCAGACTGTGGTAGCAATTCAAAGATAGTTAAATCCCTATTTACTCAGCAAATGATTTTTGTTGTTGTTTTAGATTGGGTCTCATGTATCCTATTTGGCCTTGAACTGACTGTGTGCCTGAGGCTAGTCTTGAACTCTTATTTCTCCTGTATCCATCTCCCAACTGCTAGGATTATAGGTGTGCACCACCATGCCCAATCAGCATATAATTTTGAGATACACTATGAAGTCCTTCATGGGTACCTCCTTCTGCACAGACAGATACAGAGCCAAGACTGAAAATGGCCCTTCCAACAATCTGGTCGTGAAGTAGGGTCCTTTGATGCCATCTCTGCACTTTTTACTTGTCTAATCTGGCTCTAAGTCCTCCCCATTCCATTTCCAGGATTTTAGAATCCACCCATACCCCTTCTTTCCCGCCAGCAGCAGCCCTCAGCCCCGAGCTATCATTGTCTGACACTATGAACCCCTCAGCTGTTCCCCACATTCCCATTCTGCTTCTGTCTATTACAGGCAGCAAGACTCAAGTGTAATGCAACCCCATTGATTCGCTCTAATTACAGGAAGTCTTAGTTTGATTTCTCTCTTCTTTACAGGTTTATGGGGAAGTGCTCTAGCTGATATTGAAGACATTAAGAAATATATTTGGGGTGAGTATTTGAGGGGACCCCAAGGGCCAAAGCCTAGAGATAGGTATCTTGTGTAAAGGAACTCATCTTCCATTCCCTTCGTGTGACAGATGAGACTACTGTCATTGTCCCTACAGTTGTATTTCCTAAGGCCACTGCTTTCTCTCAAGCCCCCTTGAGGCAGCAAGGATGGCTGCCCAGCGGCTGGGTGCAGGCTGCCTTGGCAACAGTGCTGTTTAATTACGTGTGACCTCTTTTCCCACCTTCTCTGCATCTCAGTTGCTCTGTCTACACCACACAGATGATGATAGCAGTTGCTGTAAGGGTTCAGAGAGTGAGTTCCTCTAAAGGACGAAGGATGGAGCCTGGTAGGTAAAAGCACTGGCAAACAATAGAAGTTATTATCTGTTCTAGTACATCCTTACCCCAGCCTCAAGGGATGGATGCTGCAATCACATGAATTTAAATTTTATTTATTTTGCCAGGCATGGTGGTGCACACTTTAATCCCAGCATTCAGGAGGCAGAGGCAGAAGTTCTCTGTGAGTTCGAGGCCTGCCTGGTCTGCATAGTGAGTTCCAGGGCAACCAGAACTGCATAGAGAGACCCTGTCTCAAAATTTATTTTATGTACATGGATGTTTTGTCTGCATGTATGTCTGTGTACCACATGTGTGTCTGGTGGCTGCAGAGTCCAGATGAGGGCATTGAATCACCTGGAACTGGAGTTCTACATGGTTGAGAAATGTCATGTGTGTGCTGGGTATTGAGCCTGGGTCCTCTGGAAGGGCAGGCAGTACTCTTAACCACTGAATCATCTCCCAAGCCTTCAACTTTAATTTTTTTGAGAGCCACTGAGTCGTAAGAATGCTGAGTGACTTGTGTGCTCTCATTGTCAAGTGAGTACTGATGTAGGAATGGATAGCAGTTTGTGACTGCAGCCACATCACAGCTCTGACCAGTATGATATATGCTCTGGCCAACCAAATGCTCTGTGACACCCTTTCTCCTGTAATTGAGACAACAATAACCCCCAGCCTCATGTATTAGAGGTGAGTTTTAAATGACTTAATATTTGTATGGTGCTTAGAGCAGAGCCTGGACCACAGTAATAATGTCTCATGAATATATAATAACAATGATGTAACCAGACGGAATGAGTCTGCATCTTGGTGAGTGTGAAGCCAAAACTCAACAGCCAAAAGGTGACACAGTAGAATAAAGAGGCATTACCTATTATCTGTATGGCTAAGTAGAGTCAGGCATTGATGCCAAAGTGATACCCTCTTCAAACAAAGGAAGTGTGAAGACTAGTTTGGGGAGGTCGTGAGTGTTTGGGAAGACATTTCAGGAGTGTGCACATACCTACCTGGGCATACATAATTTAAGAGGTAGAGCTGTAGCAGTGGCTTAGTGGTTAAAGCATTTGCCATGCAAGTGTGAGGACTAGAGTTTGGATCTCCAGATCCTGTGTAAATACCAGTTGGTCATGGCAGCCTGCCTGTAAATCCAGCCTTGGATGGCAGAGACATGGGATCCCTGGAGCAAACTAGCTACTAATGTAGCCATATTGGTTAGCTCTGGGTTTGACTGAGAGATATCTGCCTCAATGAGTAATGTAGGAAACAACTGAGGATGATTCCTAGCATCATCTTACATACTGCACACATGCACACACACATGATGTGATGTGCACCTTCATATGTTACCCTCATGTGACCAACACCAATATCATACCCATAAAAATGAAAAAAGGAAAAAATAAATCAGATGTATGCTGTTTAGTATGCTCAGTTTCAAATTAAAGTTCAAGAGGGAGGGATGGAAGTTGAGAATGAATCTGGGTACATGAGTGAGGCTTGGGTCAAAGATGGTGGGCAGGAATACTCTGGCTGTGCTAGCTTTCATGGTAGAGGTGGTGGGCCTCACTTAGTGCCACAGTGCTGGGCAGTTGTTTGTTGAGTTTTTGTGAGCTGACCTGTTGTAGGCCCCAAGTAAAAAAAATTCTTTCTCCAAGATGTTAGCTGCAGCCAAAGTAAAGAATATTTTGAATATGAATAATATCTATAGGAATCTCTTATCTCCAAGGCTGCCTGCCTCACTGTAGCTGCTAACAGTAAAAATAATTACTGAAAGTTTATGCCCATAACTATTCATTCTTTATTTAATACTTTGGGCCAAACATATTCAGGGTCTGTGTTTTAACATTGTTCCTTGAAAATAACATTCATCATGTGTTTGTTGGTTAAAGGCAAATTCAATGAGTCTAGAACCAGGTGTGGTGGCTCATATCTTTAATCCCAGTTCTCCAGAGGTAGAGGCAGGTGGATCTCTGAGTTCTAGGCTACCCTTGTAGGCCTGGTTTACAGAGAGTTCCAGGACAGGCAGGATTATACTGAGAAACACTGTCTTAAAACGTAATAAAACAAAAAACCAAACAAACAAAAAAGAGAGTATCTATTTCTAGCTTCCCTGTGGCTAAAGTTGGAGGTTGAGTCATACTTCATTTCCATAGTGGGTGTATGAGGATTGCTTTCTGGTGAAGAAGCCTTGATTTATAGTGGTGTGTAGTGTCTTGTCCAATTTCAAGTTACCAATATGGGTTCACTGAAGGTAGAGTTGGAGAGAAAGCATGGAATTAGGTCTTGAGATTCAGTATCAGCAAAAGCTCCAGCCTGCGGTGACCAATCCTATAAAGGAATAGCCCTAGAGAAACTTGCCTTGGACACACTCAGCACTGGGAGTGATGGTGCATGCCTGGAATCCCAGCACTTGGGAGGTGGAGGCAGGAGGATCAGGAGTTCAAGGTCATCTTTAGCTGTGTAGTGAGTTTGAGACCAGTCTGGGCAATATGAGGCCCTGTCTTATAAAACTAAGAAAAAAAACAACAACTCAACACCATAGCCATTGGCTTCATTGTACAGTTAAACTTTCTGCATTTTTACTCTCTTGCAGACATGTTAAGGGACCTGAGAGAAAAATTGAAGCAGAAAGGTAAGCACCCTGCTTTGTTGTGAACCACTGATGAGAATATGGATGAGGAATTGAATAAGCCAGCCACAGATTATGCAGAATGTCACGATTATGCTCATAGTTACCTTGTGAAATGCAATTCTTACGTCACCTGCTCAGTTGTGCTGTGTGTGTGTGTGTGTGTGTGTGTGTGTGTGTGTGTGTGTGTTCCTTCCAATAGTATGTAAAGGTGTAATGGTGGGAAAATCAGAAGCCTTGTCAAGAGGGCTCATGCCTCTGTGCTACATGGAACAAGGGAGGTGGCCTTCTGTTCTGTACTTGCCGTTTGCCAGCCAAGGTGGGCATGGGAGGAACATCCAGGTCCCTGAATTGCATGTGGGAGCTTTGTAAGTAAAATACATGGAAGCTGGGCTGGGCACACACAGCAGTGTCAGGAAAGGGGTGACAGGGAGATTTGTGTGGGGGAAGTCAGTGATGGTGTCTCCACACCCTCATGGGAGGCTACTTTTCTCTCTGAGCAGAGGCTAAAGCAGCGACATACATGGACCCTCCAGAGGTGCAGGTGGATGAAGCGCTCTTGGATTTAATGATGGCTTATGTCAAAGATCAGAATGACCCCAGCATCAAGGATAAGCTCCGGGCCCTGCAGCAGGTTCTGAGTGCTGAGAGAGGTTTGTGCATGAGGACACACTTGCAGACCACTGTGTGGCTGCGAAGGGGCTGGTGAGCATGAGGAAGGCAGGGTGTCGACACAGCCAGGTGGCCTGCCATGGCGATGCGGCCCTCTCTTCTACCCCCACCCTGTAAGTGAATGTGTGTGCCGCTAGGCCTGACCCTTCCTGAGCTTTCCTAGCCTTCCCTGAAGGATGGCATGTTTTCTCTCAGAGGAAATTATTGCTCTACAACGCAGTCCCTGTCAGGTCACCGCAAGAGATGAGGTGGAGTGGGCTAAACAGTGGCTCCTGGGAGCTGGCGTGGGTCCATCCTGAAGCGGGTCACCAGCTGGGTTTCTTGTAGCAGATGAGTCTGGCGAACAGAAATACATCTGGCTGGCTGAGATAGTCCAGAATTGGGATGAGGTCTCTCCCAAGGAGAAGGAGCAGTTTCTGGAATATCTGTTGTACTGCTTCATGAGGCCACGAGAGCTTCATGAGGGCGCCAAGCCCAGCTCGATGAGCCGGATCGGGGGTAAGAGTCAGCACTGTCAGCCTCCTCCTCTCTTGTCCCCACTGGTATCCATCACATTTCCCCATCCCTGTGACAAGTCGTCTGACACAAGCAACTTAGAGTGGTTTACTTTGACTCACAGTTGAAGGACGTATTGTCTGTCCACCAGAGGAGTGTGCGGCAGCTGGTCACATTGCCCCCCAGTCAGGAGGGGGGGGGAGAGAGAGAGAGAGAGAGAGAGGATAGATACAGACAGAGACAAAAAGAGAGAGAGAGAGAGACAGGGATCAGGAAGAAGTGAGAGAGAGACAGATAGATAGATGATAGAGACAGAGAGACAGAGACACAGTGAAAGACACAGAGAGACAGAGACAGACAGGGAGACACTGAGAGACATACACAGATAGAGAAAGAAGCAGAGAGAGACATTTACAGAGACATGGAGAGGCAGGGAGATGGAGGGAGACAGAGACAGGGAGATAAACAGAGGGAGAGAGATGGAGAGAGAGACAGAGAGACAGTGGAGAGATAGGAGAGAGAAGGGAGAGACAGGAGAGAGAGATGAGAGAGACACACAGAGAAATACACAAGAGACAGAGAGAGACTCAGAGAGAGAGACAGAGTGGAGAAACAGAGAGACAGAGATGGGGAAACAGTTTAAGAAGATACTGTCCACCATGGCAGAAGGAGTGTGAGGCAGCTGGTCACATTGCCCCTCAGTCAGGAAGCAGAGAGAGAAAGAAAGAGAGGCGCAGAGACAGAGATGCACAGAGATAGAGAGACAGAGATGTAGAGACAGAGAGACACAGAGAGAGCCAGAAAGGGAGACACACAGAGAAAGAGACAGAGAGACACAGAGAGAGACACATGGAGGGACAGAGCAAGACAGGGAGAGAGAGAGACAGAGAAACAGAGAGACAGAGAGGGAGTGAGATAGAGAGGGAGAAAAAGGCAGAGAGGGAGAAAGAGAGGGGAAGGGAGAGGGAGAGAGAGGGAGAGACAAAAGTAAGAGAGACAGAGACAAAGTAAGAGAGGTACTGGTGCTCAGCTATTTCTTCCTTTCTATTCAGTTGGGGCCCAAGCTCTTGAGATACTGCTGTCTGCTTTAAGGTGGGTCTTCCATACTCAAAACCCTCTGTCACCTTGAAGGTCAGTGCTTCGCCATAGGACTTTAGAGGCGTGCCAACCCATACCATCCCATGATACTTACTTTGTACCTTTCAATTTCTGCATCTAGGTCTAATCCAGGATGTTTTTACTTTTCTGAGTAAAACTGGAATTTGTTGTTGGAGGTGGGAGTGGGGAACTGTCTACAACTTCCTCTATAAACACGGTAAGAATACTCCCCCTTTTGTCTTCTAATCTCTCACAGGCTGTGGTAAGCTGTGGAGGACTAGGGGCATGAGTGGTCTCAGCTCGTCTCTTTCCTGGAGGTGTGGAGGTGGGGATGGCATGGTGCTCAATGGTCTGAATGGCAGAGCTTCTCCATGGTAGTGGTTCACAGTGAGTCACAGTCTTTTTGGTATCAATAGAAGGCGTGATAATGCTCCTGAAATGTTGGTGTTTTCCTCTGACTCTGAAAAGATGTAGACATCCACCATAGTTTATCCTTTCATGATCTGACCTTCATCATTGAGATAGAAGAGACACTAGCCTGTGGGGTACTCTTAGATCACTTTATAGTTTTTACAAACTTCTGTCTTGCTGTATGAATGCCTTCTTTCAAGATTATGCCAATCCCCAAACATTTAAAGTCCATTTACCACTCTTCCATGATAAGACTACATACTGCCAACATCTTGTGCCTTAATGGCTTTGTAGTTTAGGAAAAGGTGAGTTCCCTAGGAAGATGAGCTCCGCAATGTTGTTAGCTTGGTCAGTACCATACATGGCTTGAGAAGTTGCATCACTCTATTTTTGCTGGTTATAACAAAATACCCCAGGCTGTGTGCTTTATAAAGAAAAAAAGTTTATTTAACTCATTAGGAGATGAAAGTCCAAGATGAGGTGGCCCCATCTGTTCATCCTCTGTTTTGAGTGTTCCTGGTTGCAACATAATGTGATGGAGAAGCCGTGTGTAGAAGGGACATAGTCATAGGTGGATGGGCCTCATTGTATAAATACTTTGCTCTCTAAAGAGCTAATTTACTGCAACACAAATCCCTTCTAAGGCTGGTGCCTCCACATTCAAATAGGTCCATCTGTTAAAAGGTTCCTCCACAGCACTTCACACTTCAAACCAATCTTCCTGTGCACGGGTCTCCGAGGAGCACACTCAAACCATGTCCAAACACCAGCAGAAGTGAACCCTAACTGGACATGGGTCTCTACTCACCTCTCAGAGACAACAGCTCTGTCTGCTCAAACTGCCTCCTGTACCTACATTCTGACCTTAGATTAGACAAGTTCTTTTCCTGGTTTTAGGTAACATCACAGATGAGGCCATGCAGAGCCGGGAGTTTCTGCATCTGGTGGACGCTGGTTTAGCCATCAACACTCCCTACCCGCTTGTTCTGCCTCCGGTTCGTGAAGCTCACCTCATCCTCTCGTTTGACTTCAGTGCTGGGGACCCACTAGAGGTAAGTGAAAAGAAACTTTCGTATTTGAGGGAAGGAGATGAGATGGCCTGGGCAGAGATGGGGCTGTTCAGGAAGGAACTCAGGGTCTGGTTGGGAGGTGGACATTGGGCAGTTGTTGTCTGCGGGCACTATGGCATGTACATCCCCCACATCGTGCATAGACACACATAATGATCATATATTTAAAAACTATAAAGATACTTGCTGGCTGGCAAGATGGCTCAGCCGATAAAGGTGCTTGCTGCCATCCTCCAGACCCATGTGGTGGATCTCATAAGTTGTCTTCTGATGCCACACACACACTGTAGCACACACATGCACAAACACACACACACATACACACACACACACAAAGTACATTTAGTATGGGTTTATGTATCTTGTCTTTAAAATATACACACTTACAGCTGGGCAGAGGCAGGCAGTGTGAGTTCGAGGCCAGCCTGGTCTACAGAGCGAGATCCAAGTCAGGCACCAAAACTACACAGAGAAACCCTGTCTCGAAAAAAACCACACACACACACACACACACACACACACACACACACACACACACACTTACATAATATACATTTGCATCTCTTATGCAATGTATACATATATAAAAGTATATTTATGTTTGATTAAACTCAGATCATCAGTCTTGGTGGCAAATGCCTTTACCTGCTTAGTCTTATTGCTGGTGGGCAAAGATTTATATTTCACATTTATGTTTTTTTTTGCTGGCTGTGTTACTTGGATCTGAAATGTACCCCAGAAGTTAGTAACTTCTACCCCATGTGTTTGTACTTGATCCTTAGGGTGTAGAGATTGGAGAGTGTCAGATGATTGGGGAGATACGCCTAGTGCAGTGTTCTCAGTCTTCCTAACTCTGTGACCCTTTAACACAGTTCCTCATATTGTGGGGACCCCAACCATACAATTATTTTCATTGCTACATCATAACTGTCATTTTGCTACTGTTACGAATCCAAATGTAAATATCTGTGTTTTCTGATGACCTTAGGTGACCCCTGTGAAACTGTTATTCAGCCCCTAAAGATGTCGACACCCATAGGTTGAGAAACACTGGTTTAGTGGGAGGTTCCTAGTTCACTGGGCTCATGCTCTCAAAGGACAGCATGATCCTTTCTCTTTCTGTTATCTGTCTGCCTTGTGAGGTGAGCAGTTTTGCTCTGTCATACACTCCTACCATGTGGCCAAGTGATCATTGTAGCAGGAATCTTAGAGAGTCTTATTAATAAAATCAAATCCAGGGCCAGTTATTGGGGTGAACACTGGAAGATCAGAGAGACAGAACAAGCCACAGCTAACCTCACCTGGCCAACTTCTCAGCTGGTCTTGTTTCCTCAGACTGGAAGCTTTTGTGTCCTCATCCCAGTGGCTCTCAGCTGAACTGTGCTGCTCGAAAGCCTGAACGCTTAACCAGCCAAATGCTTAATCAGCCAAATGCTTCTAGCTTCTGGTCCTCACGCCTTATATACCTTTCTGCTTTCTACCACCACTCCCTGGGATTAAAGGCTGGCTTTCTGGGATTAAAGGCATGATGAGTCACCATGCCTGTCTGTATCCTTGAATACATGGATTTCTGCCTCTGGAATGCTAGGATTAAAGGCGTATGCTACCATTGCCTATCCTTTATGTTTAATATTGTGGCTGCTCTGCCTCTGACCCCAGATAAGTTTATTAGAATGCACAATATTTGGGGGAATACAATACCACAGATCATGGCCTGGAACCTCCAAGCCTTGAACCCAAACCAACGTTTTCTCTTTGTAAGCTGATTGTGTTGGGTGTTTGGCTGACTGACTTCCATGGTAACCATTAAGCTATTTAAAATCACATGCATGGCTGACTTTCCATTTCTGTTAGCCAGCAATGGAAACTAGCTTTCTCTGTCACCATCCACCATCCCTGTGAGGTAGATGTTAAAGAGTCTTTCAGGGAGGAAATGAGATTGGCTGGTTCTGAATATCTGTGGATGCCCCCTCATCTGAGCACATTGTCCTTCATAAAGACCCCAAGGTTATTCTCAAGCCTAGAAGAAACTATTCATTGTCCCACAGTGAATGGGAGATGTCTTCTGTGCAAAACCAAACCAAAAACAACCATGCACTTCCCAGCCTCCTCCTGAGGTCTTTGGTGAGGTTCCTGTGTGTCTCAAGACCTCCTATTCTCCCCTTCTCAGACCATCAGGACCACAGCAGACTACTGCCGATGCCATGCAATCCCCTTTCCTGAAGTGAGAGAGGATCAGCTGAAGGAATGGGCCAAAGCCCCAGCGAGCTGCTACATCCTCAGAGGGGAGACTGGACCTGTTGTCATGCATTTTACTCTGTTCAACAAAAACAACTGTGGAGGTAGGTGTGGGAGGAAGAGCAGGGTAAGGAGCCATGGGATCCAGGCTGGGTGGGGCTGTATCTTAGGGATGCCTGGTCCACACTTCAACATCTAAAACTCATCCTGTCGACCCTGGGGCCTCCAAAAGGATGTCATGTTTTCTGTTTCTGTCTTAGACATTTCTACCTGTTTCCTCCTTTTGTTGGGACGTTCTGGTCTAGCTGGATGTCTGGCTCCTTCTACCTGGGCACTCCACATTTATTATCTAGTCCTAGGTGAACAGTTCTAGGTGGATCTTAGCATGTAGCATGGCCATCCTGTCAGTCTCAGCCCTGCTGCTTATCCCACTGGACTCTCTGGAGCTCTCTGCCACTCTGCCTTTGGGGTGGGGTTCCCTATAAGGGATAAAGTATAAAGCCTGTCTTTTTTTCTTTCTGTAGTAGTGTCTCACTATAATTGCTGAAGCTGGCTTTGAGCTCAGGATCCCCTTCCTTCAACCCTCCAAGTGCTGACATTGTGTCCATCACTTTACCTGTTCCTTTCTACTGGCCTTTGTTTTGCTTTAAAGATTTATTTTTGTTATTTCCAGTTATGTGTATGTGTGTTTGTCTGTCTGTCCATGTGAGTGCAGATGCCCAAGGAGGACAGAAGCACTGGATCCTTTGGAGCTGGAATTACAGAAGGTTATGAATCACCTGACATGGGTGCTGGATATTGAACTCCAGTCCTCTGAAAGAGCAGTTTGAGATCTGTCTAGCTATTTCTCCAGCCCCCATTAAATTTATTTCTAAGGCAGAGTCTCACTGTGAAGTTTAGCCTTAGCTCAAACTCATAATCTTCCTGCCTTGGTCTCCAAGTGCTACTATGCTATGTGTGCACTACCATGCCCAGCTAGTGTATGTACTTTCTTACTTCTTTTAGTTTTTTTGCAAAGATGTTTTATTTTTATTTTATGTGTATGGGTGTTTTGTCTGCATGTATGCTTGTATACCATGTGTGTGCCTGGTGCCCAAGGAAGCCAGAAGAGGGCATCAGATCTTTTGGAACTAGAGTTACAGATGGTGTGAGCCACCATGTAGGTGCTAGGAATTGAGCCCATTCCCTCTGGAAGAGCAGTTATTACTCCTAAGTGCTGAGTTATCTCTCCAGCCCTTTCTCTTCCTTCCTTTAACAAATATTTATTAGTTACCTACATTGGCCATTGTTCCCGGCAATACAGGTTAATATGAAAATGGAGGCATTTTTTTCTTCCTTGTGTAGGTATGGAGAACAGATAGTAAAACACATGCTTCACTTTATAAAGTGATTTACCAACATCTCTTTGTTTATAAAGCCAAGTGTGCCAGCTGGATTTGGGCCAGAAACATAGTTTAGCAGCTCCTGACATAAACGGACACAATCCTAACTTGACAAATGTTCTCCTTGGTTTGGTTCTATTTCAGATGACATTGAGACGTGGAGAAAGAAATATGACACAATGAAACTCTCTGACTCCTACACACCAGATCTGGTGAAAGATTTGCTGAGAGTGTCTAAGGAAAATGTCCAGATGAATAAGGATAATATCCTTAATGAGATGAGGAAAATAGCTGTGTGAGTATCAGGCTGTATCAGCAGCTGTAATGGCCCTGACCTCTGAGTTGGATCTAGGGAATATCTATTGCAGAGCTAACTTTCAGTACATCTGGTGGGAGGATTGTAGGTGTGGCTGGCAATTGAGCTCCTGCCTAGAATCCCCCAGTGAGGGGCTGGGGGTGTGACTCAGTAGTAGAGGCCCTGCCTAGAATCCCTCAGCGAGGGGCTGTTGGTATGGCTCAGTGGTAGATGCCCTGCCTAGAATTCTCCAGTGAGGGGTTGGGGGTGTGGCTCAGTTACAGGGTACTTGTTTAGTGTGTATGGGACCCTGGGTTCCATCCTCCGTAATAAAATAAAAATTTGTGGGAAGAGAGAAACTGTTTCTTACCATTGGAGCTTGTATCTGTGTATGGGAGAAGACAGGCAGTGGATGGTGTTGGAGTGAGTGGCTTTCTGAAGCACAAAGCAGAGTGGACCAGGTTGCTATGACTGTTGGTGCTTGCTTTGGGGACCAAATGTGTGATGGTTTTCTAATAGCCTAAGAGTATGCACTGAATGGACACCCCATCACAGCCTTTCACAGCTGACATTGAGGCCCCAGTCACTGCCATGGCCCAGAAATGTCTGTCAGATGACATTCAGAGCTGCTTTTCATTCCACTCTCAGGAAACCTGTCAACTTCCCACGGGTGACTAAGGAGGACTGCTGGGGAGACACAGAGCAGCATGCCCAAAGCTCTCGGACTGTGGAGATCAAGATGTCCAACAACACGGACATAACATTCAGTGAGCCCTTGTAAGTTTCATCCTTGTCTTGTCCTCTCAAGTCCTGCCCTAAGTTATCCCTACGCCTCATGTGTGATCGGTGGCATCTCTGCAGTAGCTCAGTGTGTGATGGCAGATCAGAGAGGTGTGGCCAGTTCAAGCCTCAGCTTCCCTTCTATAAAGATTTCACAGCAAGTGTGCTAAAAGTTTGTAATGATCTTACTTAAAAAAATTATCTTATATGTATACATACTTTGTCCTGCATGCATGCACGTGCACTGTGTGTGCAGTGCCAGTGGAGGCCGGAAGAGGGCATGAGATCCCCTGGAACTGGAATTACAGATGGTTGTGAGCTGCCGTGTGGGTGCTGGGAATCAAACCCAGGTCCTCTGAAAGAGCAGCAAGTATTCTTAACTGCCAAGCCATCAATCTTACTTTAGAAAATGTAGTGTTTTTACTTTTTCTTTGAGAATTTCATAACGTGTATATGATATATTTTCATCATATTTACTCTCCAACCCCCCTCTAATTTTTCCCAGATGCCCCCAGATCCCACTCCAGACTTCATGTCCAGTTTTTTTTAACCCACTGAATTCATTTGGTGCTACCCATATGTGTGTGGGTGTGGGGTCATCCACTGAGCTTGGCCTTAGACCTAACAGGATGACATCCCTAAAGAAAATAGGTTGCTGTAGTCGGAAGTTTTCTCCGGTCGTTCCCGGCCCTGCATTTGGGACGAATGAATCTCTCCCTCCTGTGTCCTGTAGCCACTTGGTTCCACGTGAACACACAGAGGCTTATATTATTTACAAACTGTATAGCTTAATGGCTCATGCTTCTTGCTAGTTAGCTCTTATACCTTAAATTAACCCATTTCTATTAATCTATGTTTTGCCACGTATTCTGTGGCTTACCAGTCTGCTGGCATGTTATTACTCCAGAGGCAGCTGGCGTCTCTTCCTCTCCTTTTCTTCTTCATGTCTATCTGCTTAGATTTCCGCCTGCCTCTAAGCTGCCTTGCCATAGGCCAATGCAGCTTTATTTATCAACCAATCAGAGCAACACATATTCACAGCATACAGAAAGACATCCCACAGCAGGTTGCTATGGCTCTTGGTGCCACCTTGGGGACCAAATGTCTGATGGTTTTCTAATAACCTAAGAGTATGCACTGAATGGACACCCCATCACAGCCCTTCACAGCTGACATTGAGGCCCCAGTCACTGCCATGACCCAGAAATGTCTATCAGATGACATTCAGAGCTGCTTTTCATTCCACTCTCAGGAAACCTGTCAACTTCCCATGGGTGACTAAGGAGGACTGCTGGGGAGACACAGAGCAGCATGCCCAAAGCTCTCGGACTGTGGAGATCAAGATTTCCAACAACACGGACATAACATTCAGTGAGCCCTTGTAAGTTCCACCCTTGTCTTGTCCTCCCAAGTCCTGCCCTAAGTTATCCCTATGCCTCATATGTGATTGGTGGGCATCTCTGCAGTAGCTCAGTGTGTGATGGCAGATCAGATAGATGTGGCCAGTTCAAGCCTCAGCTTCCCTTCTATAAAGATTTCACAGCAAGTGTGCAAAAAGTTTGTAATGATCTTACTTAAAAAAATTACCTTATATGTATACATACTTTGTCCTTCATGCATACACGTGCACTGTGTGTGCAGTGCCAGTGGAGGCTGGAAGAGGGCATGAGATCCCCTGGAACTGGAATTACAGATGGTTGTGAGCTGCCGTGTGGGTACTGGGAATCAAACCCAGGTCCTCTGAAAGAGCAGCAAGTGTTCTTAACTGCCAAGCCATCAATCTTACTTTGGAAAATGTAATGTTTTTACTTTTTCTTTGAGAATTTCATAACGTGTATATGATATATTTTCATCATATTTACTCTCCAAAACCCCCTCTAATTCTTACCAGATGCCCCCAGATCCCACTCCAGACTTCATGTCCAATTTTTTAAAATAATCCACTGGAGCTTGGTCTGTAGAGCTACCAGGATGACATTCCTAAAGAAAACAGCTTCTCTCTCTGCCAGAAGAAATCAGTTTTCTAAGTAGCTCCTCATGTAGGGGTGTGGGCTTGTGTGCCCCTCCCCAACCCACTAGGGGCTGTGGACTGGCTTGATCGTGTGCAGGTAACCACAGCTGCTGTGAGTAGTTGAATGCAGCATTCCTGCCCAGAGCAATCTTATCTTTTGAGGACCTGCTTGTCTTTCATCATCTTGTGGGTTTCCTTTAGTGGAAGGAGTTGCCACTGGCTTGATGGTGGGACACTCCTCCCCCAGTGTGAGCACCATGTCATGTGGCAGAGGTGAACATAGTTTCTCACAGATGCCTGTGGTCACAAGCAATGAACTTGGTTTTCTTGTTATCAAGCACTTAAATGGTGCACAGGTGAATCAGGGTTGCAAAGCACGGGGAAAGAGTGCTAGCCATGATGTCTGTGGGAACAGACTTCCATATAAAGGAAAACCACATCCGAAGAATCTGCAGTAGGATGACTTTAACCTATTGAATAAGGAGGAGGAAAGCTATTAGCGTGGCTCAGTGTGAAGATGTAGAAAACATGGAATACAATATGATGTGGCTTCTGACATTAACTCCTTGCCTCAATCTGAACAGTTGTCCCTAGACTTGACATCATTAGATACACAAATATTTACACAATAAGCATAGGTGATGGGAACACCCCTTAGGCAGTGGAGTTGAGATTAAATGTAGGTATTCTTGTGGAATAAGGAACTTTCTTTCTTTGAACCCATGCATAGTCTATAGAGGCCTCCAGATCTATTTTTCTCCAACATGCAAGGCCACCTGCTTATAACAATAGTGACCTGTAACTCCTCTCTCCCAGATACTACTTGCAGAGTGGGCGTGTACTAGTGGACCCACCACCTCTGCTGTCTCCAGAGTCCACCATCAACTGCTCCTTTGTGAAGAAGAACTCCAGCTTCCAGGGCACTGTGGGCATACTGGTCTACCAGGGCCCAAGTGTTCACTTTGCATTGCTGTTCTCTGTTCCCTTCAACTATGCCCTTCACAGAATTGAGTTTGCCTTAGCCATCATAACTGAGCCAGTCTCCAGAGACCTGGAGAGGGTCTTTGATGACATCATTCAGGGCAAAGGGTCTCCGGAGCTAAAGGCAGCAAAGTATGATCTTCAGATTCCTCATGGGACCCTGAAGCTGGAACACGATTCCTTGATCATTAGAGCCACAATGTCCAACATCCATGTGGCTAAACTGGATGTAGTGGTTGAGACCAAAAAAGCTCCTTAAAAGTCTCTTTCCTCCATCTATAGCTGCTTGTTTTATACTTCCAGTCAGATTGCTTGGCTCTGTAAAAAGAGAGACCTCAACTGAAATCATGGTCTATCTCTGCAGAGCCAAGGAACTCTAAGAAGACAACTATTCTGTAAATGCTTGCTGCTTGACCAACAGATTGATGATGCATTTCTTAGTCCCTCAGCACCCTCCTGCATCCTGTGTCACCCATGATGTATCCTTTATTCTTCATTCCCTGCCATGCTGTTGTGGCTTGCCTTCCACACTTTCCTCCCTCAACAACTTACCTTCATTGGCTGTCTTGTCTGCTGCCTCACCCTTCCATTCTACTCCTTCCACTGGTAAATCAGTGGCCAAGCTTGATGGCTCCGCATCTGACTTGGGTCCTGGCCCCACAATTTGCTCACTATCAGAACACAGGCAAGTCCTTTCACATGTGAGCCTTCCTTTCACCATCTGTGGAGTAGATAATTGTGTCTGTGTCCTGGGGGGCTCATATGAATTAAGTCCTAAGACCTTAGACCAGCTCTGGTAAAGGCAAAGTTTTCAAGAGGCATTACTTGTTCTTTTTCCTCAAGCTAATATTCTTTTCTTTTGATTAAAACATTGTAGTTTTTAGATGGCATATAAGATAATTGGGTTCATCATGGCTTTCTGTAGCCATAGATAATTGTATTTGTTAGTATTTGTTCCCCATTACCTCCCTTTGGCCCTACTTCCTTCTCATGTGGGTCTCCTTCCTCCCTCCAAAATACCGGCTCCTGCGCTTGTGTCATATGTATGTGTGCATAAATATGTATTTTAACCTAAATTCTGCATATAAAAGAAGACATGCAATGTTTGTCTTTTTTCTCTCCTAATTTCCCTCTTGTCCTTCATCTCTTTGGACTTCTCTCCTGACACCAAATTGTCCCCCTTTCACTTTTACAACATCCGTAATACATAGAGGTAGATAAGACAAAGAAACAGATAGGTGGTAGATGGTAGATGTGAGGCATATAGATAATACAGATAATTAGTAGATAGTGATAAATAGATGACAGAAGAATGATAGTAGGTAGATATTGAGATAGCTGTTACACTTAGGAAGGAAAACATGATAGTTGTCTTTTTGAGGTTGGGTTATTTTGCTTAACATGGTGGACTCCAGGTCTGTCCATTTCCCACAAACAATGTAACCTCGCTCTTCTTGATGGCTCAATAAATGTTAAAGACTGCTAGAGTTGAATTGTTTATTTCTTCTAAAAAGTAGATGGCATACCTCACGTGCTTGTAGACATGACATTAAAAGGAAATGGGGAGTTTTCACATGTGAACCAATTAAGATGAGATGACTAGGGTGGGTGCTACTCCACTGTGAACATGGTTGCTGGTAGCAATGGCCATATCAGAGGTGCAGCAGATGGCAACCCAAGTTCAGAGGTCAGTCCACCAGAAGAATATCTCTGATGGATATGTCTCATTCAAGCAACACTTAATGAGAATGCAGACTCCAGACTGTATTTTGCTTCTGTTGTCTCCCTGCATACTTGCTGCTGCTATGTATGCAGTGTGGGGAGTTCCCCACTGCCTGTATTATTATGTATTCATCTCATAAATACATTTCATCTGTTGGGCATTTACATCTGTGGATGGTCAGGAAGATGATTTCTGCTTAAGCTGTGTAATTTTGATGAATAGAAATAATATTAGGTTATTTTTCATAAGTAGGCCTATTGTTCCACGAGGACTGTGAGATACTTAGGACCTGTTTTATATCATAGCTCAGGCAGACATTGGAAAATAGTTGTATCTGCCCAGCTCTAAGACAGCTTTCGTGCCATTAGCTGATTGAATGCTTCAAAGTAACTTTAGATTAAGTCCAGGTATCTTGCTAATGGTTTTTTTAGATAAATATCCCCTATCTTAGTTCACAAGGACATACGAGCTACCTGGCTAGGTCGTGTATACAAAAAGCCCAATTATTACTAGCTAGCAAATGATTTAGTCCTTGCACCCATTCCTGGCCTCAATTTGTGAAAATATATCCTGACTAGTCAAGGCTACAGAAAATAGCTTGACTGTATAGCCCCTAATGTGGGCTGTGGATGTTTTTAGATAATTAGAAGTTACACGCAGGACAGAAAAAATGTATTTTAAAACTTAAAAAACTTTGCTTTGGAGAATGCCAGAGTGAGCTCATATTAAGAAAATGAAGGTAAACCTGACTTCCAACTAAAGCATTTATGGCATCTTGTCCTGCGAGTCTAAAAATAGGATAGCGGGCGGCGGCGGCGCACGCCTTTAATCCCAGCACTTGGGAGGCAGAGCCAGGCGGGTCTCTGTGAGTTCAAGGCCAGCCTGGGCTACAGAGAGAGTTCCAGGACAGGCACCAAAACTACACAGAGAAACCCTGTCTCAAAAAAAACAAACAAACAAAAAACAAAAACAAAAGCAAAACTCCAAAAAATAAGATATATGCACAAATTTCTTATTTTTCTTAAACTCCTCAGTAGTTTAGCTTTATTTATCTCTAGATAAATAAAAATAACTGTTTTTTTTTCCTGGAAGCTGCAGCTGTGAGATTACAGCCCACCAATTAGGAAGCTGAGATTTATTGCATGTGTGCTGTCGGGATGACTCTTCTCTTGTCATTTACTTAAGGAATGGAGTGTGACCTTAAAATGTCACTCCTATATTCAACATGAAAGAGTCTGTTGAATATATATAGCTGTGAAGAACAAAGAGATAGAGAGCAACATGAGAGAATAAAGAAAAGTGACCATCAGAATAAGTGTGAATGTGGTTCCTTCCCTAAAAGCCCTTAGATGGAAAAAAGTCTTAGCTTCATGACACTGGATTCCTTGCAAGCCCTGTGTCAGCTGCCTACTGAAGAGAGAAGCTTTTCTAGTCAAGGTCAAGTGCACTAAATATTTGGAAGGCAGTTTGGCAACATATCTATTTAGCAAAACAACAGTATGTAGGCTCCCCTTAAGATCTGTGACCTCCTGGTATCAAGGATTCTTGCACCCTGCTCCTTTGAGCACATGACTGACTTAGGAAATACCACATCTGTCCTTTCCATCTTTCAGTCACCAAAGGTCAGGCTTAGATGAGTGTTCAAAATGCTTGTTGGAACAGCAAATGAGCGGAGGCTTCACTCTAATCCCCATATCAAAATGTACTATCCAATTCTGTTCTGGGGATAAAAGAGTTTCAGAGGCCCACACTAGCTCTCCCCTCCCATCTCACTCCAGCCAGATGGGGAGGTAGGAAGAGCTCCTATCCACTGTCTGATGAGAGATTTCCCATGAGCTGTCACAGATCTGTCACAGGGACTGAGGGAGAGGCCAAGAGAGGCAGGAAGAACTGGCAAAGGACTGAGACAATCAGGAAGCTGGGCTGCCTGCTGCAGGGGAGCAGGAAGGAGGGGCCATCTTGACATCAGAGCTTGGTGAACTCTACCTGCCCCCATGCAGTTTCCCATGGGCCCTGCCTGCATCTTTTTGAGGAAGGGCATTGCTGAGAAGCAGCGGGTGAGGTGGGGATGATGCAGAAAGGTTGTGGGAAGAGCAAAGGGTCCTGGGGCCTGGGGAGAAGGAAGGAGTATGCAAGTGCTGAGCAACAAGGGAAGCTGGTGAAGAGAGCACAGCATGAACTGAGCTCAGGTAGCACTGTGTGGGCACAAGGGTCAGAAGTCAGGAGCAAGGGGGGATGGTGGAGTGAGAGAAATGTAAACGGGAGATGGGATAGAGCCATTGTTGATAACATCATTGTTTTCTATGGGAAATCAAACAGTGATGATGGTGATGATGGTAATGGTGCTGCTGCTGCTGCTGCTGGTGGTGATGACAAATGTATATGGTGGAGGTGGTGGTGATGCTCATGACAATGGTGATTGTGATGGTGCTGCTGCTGCTTTATGGTGATGGTGTTGATGATCCTGATGATGGTATTAACAACAGCTACTGCTTATTGAGTCTTTCTGTGTGCCTAGTCCTGTGCAAAATAGTTTACATGCCTGATGGCATTCAGTCCTTAGAACAGCACACGAGGTTGGGTATAATTTCATTCCTGTTTTACAAGGGAGCACACTGAGACCATTAAATCATGAAGTATTTTGCTTTAAGTCTATAGAGTTAATGAGTGTCACGATTTTATTTATTTATTTACTTATTTATTTATTGATGTACTTACTTATTTACTTACTCAATCTTGTTTGATTCTTAGGAACATGGTCTTCCTTGTAAGGCTTTAGAATCACCCAAAAGGGGAAGAAAAAAAGGAGAGGATAGAGAGGGAAGAGGAGAAGATGGAAGGGGAGAGAAGAGAAGGTGACACAGGTCACGGTATGGGGCAAGGCAGGGCAGGGAAGTGAAGATAGGAGAAAGGAAGTGAAGGGAAGATAGGGGAGGGAGAGAGGAGGGAAGGCAAGAGATTACTTGGGAAGAAAAGAAGAAAGAGAATCCAAAGTGAGGAGGTCTCAAATTATAAGGTTGATAAGGAGTAAATTCCCCGACACTATGCCTGCTAACCAAGCTTACCCTTGGGTGTACTCATGAGTAGGGAACCATGACCAGCAATTCTCAGATGTGAGACTGACACTGAACATTCTTCAGGAACCACCCTGAACACTTGTTTCACAGAAGGGGATGTTCACCCTGGGAAGGAGCATGGCGGTTCTGGAGTCAGTGGGATGTAGCAGAAAGAATTTGCTATGGGAATCAGGAGTCCTCCATCCTAGCCCCAGCCCTGTGTCTGACCTCTGAGTGATCTCAAAGGAGTATGAGTGTCATAAAAGTAGAAGAGGGTATTACTTCAGGGAAGAAATGGGACTGGGAAAAGAGGAATATGTGCTAGATGTGGTTGTGGTGCCAAGAACAGCAAAGGACAATGATATAGATGTGTGACAACATCCCAGTGTAAACCTGTTTCTTTGTTAACAAAAATTCATTTTTAAAAGGACGAAGTGGCTGAGAATGTATCTTAACTGGCAGAGTTTATCTTTGCACATCTGAGGTCCTGGGTTCAATCCCTAGCTTCATACAAAGTGGGCGTGTTGGGATGTTTTTGTAATCCCAGGGCCTGGGAGGTGGAGGCAGGAGCATCAGAAGTTCAGAGTCATTCTTGGCTACTAGTTATATGAGACTCTGTCTCAATAATAGAACAAATAAATAAGGGCCAATGAGAATGCTCAGTAGGTAAAGGCACCTGTTGTTAAGTCTGATGACCTGAGTTCTATCCCCAGGATGGTGGAAGGAAAGAACTGACTGCCTCAGATTGTCCTCTGACCCCTCACAAGTACTCGGCAAGCGCTTGCATTTCAAAATGATTAAATAAATAGGCAAATAAGTAAAAGGAGAATAGGATTCATTGATTTCTCTCTCCCTCGGAAGGGAGTATTCTGTTTATGAACTCTGTGACCTTTGGTAGGCTCATTAATCTCTGTTTTTCAGCTTCTCATGGATAAGATGAGAATATTTGAGTCTACCTCACTGACATGGTTCTGAGGTTTAAATACAACGAAAGGGCTCTGACCACAGTAGATGAGACATATTGCACTTTCTTCATCTGGAGAAGAGGTTCTAGCTCCCTCATGTTTAGGACAGACCATCAGAGATGAAGATTCAAGGATGGGAGACAGGAAATGAGAGGGGAGGAAGAAAAGGGTAGTCAGAGAAGAGCCGGGGACGGGAGGTGGAGATGGAAGGAGGAAGGTGAAATTAAAGAGCGCGAAGGACCGGGAAGCTTGATAAACACTGGGGACGGGAGGTGGAGATGGAAGGAGGAAGGTGAAATTAAAGAGCGCGAAGGACCGGGAAGCTTGATAAACACTGGGCTTGTTTGGGGAAGTGGGACCTTTCCAATCTCCTCTCCTTGTGTTCCTTTCAGGAGAGACCACTGGGACAGGACGAGATTGATGGTAAGTCCTTGCTTAGATGCCCTTCCATGTTAGCCACTCATTGCTGCCCCCTCCTCCATTTTTGTGTAACTTCTTTCATGGGAGGATCCCTTTCCCTCCCCCTGCTGAATGTAATTTGCGCAGCTCATTCTGTGTCATTTTAACAGGGTGTCTGTCTCATTTGCATGGGTCTGAGGAACTCAGAAATGATGCAAGTTTTAGATTTAAAAATGTTACTATTTTTCTTTGGTTGGTTTTGAGATCTCTTGTAAGTTCACTCAAGAGTCTGAGGACTTCAGTGCTCTTGGGGGGTCATCTTCTCATTAGCACATTTTATAG